TTTAAATATAGGAGTTAGTGTTTAAATTATAAATTTATTAATTAATGGTTAAATTAGACATTTATTAATTTACAAAATTAACCCTAGGTTTAGGTTTAGGTTTTAGTTCAAAATATCTTCGTTTTATATATAAGATACATTTACATAGGCTTCAACCCAGTTATAAGCACCATCTCATTTAACAATAACAATTTAGAATTATTCATGTCTCGTTATTCAATATTTTGTTGACATCTAATCTTTCAGGTTTTCGGTTTTTATTTTATTTTATTTTATTTTATATTTGAATTATTTATTTTAGTGTATGTAAGCACCAAAGACAGCATTGCAAAGTTAGAACTTTTGCATAAGCAAGAATCACTCAATCCAATCCCCTTTCACAAATCTTCGCTCATTAAATAAAACTAACAATAATAAAAAAAAAAAAAAAATTGCAATATTAGTTGGAAAATTTACCTATAGACAATTTGATCATCTTGGAGTAAGGAATTAATATCCCCTTTCGAGCCTCGTCAGCCAATCTTTGATGCTCTTTTACTTATACGTACACCTTCTCCGCATCATCCAACATGTTTCTGACTGTGTTCAGATCAACAGAAAGTTTGAGAATCTCCTTAACTTCTCTTCCACGAGAGTTTAAATGAAGTTTATTAACAATTACCGCCCCTGTGTAATCTCGATTTGCTAAGAAAACTCTGAATTAGAAATATTAGCAAAGACGTATGAAAACGAGCTTATTGCAAATAGGGTCAAACGAGCTTATTGCAAATACCACCCTGTGTAATCTCTAATTGTCAAATAACCCATGTGATAAAAAAACTCACTAACTCCCCCCATGTGTTAACATTTTCGAAGCACACTACACTCTTTTTTATTTTAGGCCTTGACTAATGGTGAATGGACAAAAATGCCCTAAGGGGGTTTTTAGCAATTAGTAAAGTATAGTATACCAAATTTTAGAATCACTTTAATTTTGTAAATATTATGTATTTATTTTGAATACAAAAAAAAAATATAAACAAGAATTAAATATATATTGTAATATTAAAAGTTTGAGTAAATTACAAACACCCCCCTGAGGTATGGTCAAATTACAAAAACTCACCTCTTGTTTGGATAATTACATCTATCCCCCTCAACTATGATTTTTTCTTAGACCTCCACCTTTATGGTGCCAAATTCAACATATTCATCTAGATTCCTTGAAATGTGCTCTAGTTTGTACTCGTTTGTGTAAAAAATACAGTTTCCGATGCACCACAAACTGATACATACAAGCTAAAAATCACATATTATGATCATCTTGTTTCATAATGTAGAGTTTGAATGGGATAAAACGGGTACAAAAGTGATAATATTCCATATAATCTCGAAGATTCCACTAAATTTGAGGAGTTGAGGGGGTGGTTGTAATTATCCAAACAAGAGGGGTGTTTTTGTAATTCGACCATACCTCAGGGGGTGTTTGTAATTTACCCTAAAAGTTTTTATATATATGCCTTATCTATAATGTTTTTATATTCTTTGTAATTACGCATGTTACATTTTATTAAATAATAATAATTATTAAAAAAAAAAAAAAAAAAAAAGTTCTTCTCTGCCCACCCACCCACCTGCCCGGCTCAACCTGCTGCTGCTGTTCTGCTACACTACTACCACCGGCACCATAATCATCTTCTCCAGATCCACCACCACAGCAATAGTAAAAAGGTAGCTATAAACACACGACAAAAAGAAACATATATAAAGAGCGGCGGTGGATCTCTATTTCGGCGACGGAGAGATTCTCGATCTCGTCTCGGTCTCTCTCCAATCTCCATACAAATCTCGTCACAAGTAACTTTTACAATTCTTCAATTATACACAACTATCTCTATCACTAAGAAATGGGTGGTGCCAGACCGGCGGCGGTGTCGAGGGAGAGGAAATAATAGTGAAAACTATGTATATATTTCTGAAGTGAAAACTAGTTTCAGAATTCACCGACATATTGTTGAAAAAGACAGGATATACCAAAAAATAATATGTAATGAAGAGAATGACATAAAAATAAAAAGAGAGAATGGATTCTATAATCTCAATGGTTGGGAAATGGATTTCCAGGGTTGACCTTTCTTGTCCCCGTAGACTTGTTCCAGTTGTGCTGAACGACTAATATCCAACAGCTTCAATGATAATGAAACCTTTCGCAGGAGGCGTTGCAGCAGCTCCGTCAATCTGCTGCAGAAACGGATCTCCAAGTGCGTCAGGCAAGGCATTATTGAGAAATTAGCAACATTATCTTCTTCTTCTTCTTCCACCGTAATGTCTTCCCACTTCGTCCAGTTGTTACATGCCCTAACTGTCAGTTTCTTCAACTTGGGGAAGCCACCATCAATAGTTCCCATCGATGATGAACATGTTGTTGTTGTTGCGCCAATGTATTCCCATCTTTATTCAATGTGACTAGACTCGTTAATTCGGCTATTCCTTGTGGATATTGCTCCAGAGATTCAGTACCTTTATTATACAAATGTTTGAGCTTCTTCAGCTTGTGGATCTCTTGTGGAAGTCCACACAGACTAGAACACCAATTTACATCCAAACTTTCTAATTTACTCAAATTGCATAGGCTCTCCGGCAACTCTCTCAATTGTCTATTCTCACTCAAATCAAAGTGTATCAACTGACTCAAATTTTCAATTTCCGAGGAAATCCTTTTTAGCTCGCATAAATCCAACCAAAGAAATTGCAAGTTATACAACTTACAAATGGACTTGAGATCATCACCAACAAATTCATTATTACCCAAGTCCAACCACCTCAAGTGAATCAATTTTTCTATTTCTTTCGGAATGCCTTGCAAGCCACAACGTCTTAAACCGAGCAACCTCACACTTGTTGGGCAATCACAAACATGTGGATCAAGAACTTCTCTGTACTGAAATAATCTGCTACGATATTTTTCGACCCGGGAAACTAACAAAGGGCTACACTCTTCGCAAGTTGTTTTCTTCATTCTTGACCCCACATCCTTCCTCAGGAATTGAGCAAAATCATGTACAATGTCATGCATCATAAACGATTTTATCTTACCGCCGTCTTTCTCAAAGTGTTGAAACAGAGAGCGCATTGCTAAATTATTAAAGTACCCTCTCCCTCTAACTTTCCAGTCATCATCAGCATTGGATTCTAGGTAACCCATTGCCATCCATTTTGTTATTAGTAACTCAGAAGCAAAGGGTAGAAGAGGTCATCTTCTACTTCCTCCAACTTCCATATTTCACTATTCAACACGCTCTCCCACTCCTCCCATGTATCCTTGGAATGCAAAAGACTTCCCAAAGTCTTTGCTGCAAGTGGCAATCCATTGCATTTCTTGGTTATCTGCTTACCTATCTTCTCAAATTCTTCATATTGATCCTTGTTCTTATCACAAAGGGCAATCCGAACTAACAATGACCAACAATCTTCATCATTGAGAACTCTTAAACGATGGATCATCCGATCATTCTTGATAAACTCTCCCATCATCATTTTTGCAACCCTTTCCTTTCTAGTTGTCACCAAAACTTTGCTACCCTGGCCTGTCCACCACTTTTGAGAGCGTTTTTCAGGGGTTTCCACTTGGTCTCCTCTTCTGTCCAAACATCATCCATGACAAGAAGAAACTTTTTCCCTGAAATAGACTTTTTTAGACGTTGCAGTAGCATTTCCAATTGATTGGTCCTTGGTGGTTCATCCAACTTTTCCACACTTGCCACAATCCCTTTCGCAATCTCAACCTCGTTAAAGGAATTTGAAACAGATATGCAAATCTTTAATTCAAAACAGTTCTCAACTCGACTATCGTTATAAGCTAGTTGAGCAAGAGTTGTCTTCCCAAGGCCACCCACACCCACTACAGATATGACGCGGATGCCTCCTATTAATCCTTCTTTGCTACTACCGCCTTCACCCACAAGTTTACTCACCACATCTTCTCTATCTGAGTCTCGGCCATAAATTTCCTCTGAGTCGATGAAAGAAGTAGTTTGACCCCGCCAAGAGTCACGATCAGATGGCTGTGGCGTGGTCGCAAAACCATACCGATCTTTCTCCGCCAAAATTAGATCAAGCCGTGCTACCACTTCTTTCACTTTCAAGGCAATATCACGACGCACAACAACTTTCTCGACACACAATAAACACGAGGAAGGGATGAAGGAGCGTACCTTGTACAACCAAAACAGTACACAATGATCGAAAGATTGCTGTTCCGTCTCAAGGTCGAGAATGGCCGCATTCCATTCGTCCAAAACGTCGTCCATTTCATAGGTCGTGTTTTCAAGCCTCGTCAGCCAATCTCTGACGAGTTTGTCGTTCCATCCCTTCTTCTCCGCATCATCCAACACATTTATAACCCTTTTCAACTCATCGGAAAGATTCTGAATCTCCTTCTCAACCCCTCTCACCAATTTTACGTGGTTCAGGCCCGGCTCTGCTGTGAGACCCGCAAGCCGCCCGCCCCAGTACATTACCGATAGCATTGGCTGCCATGATAGATCGCTAAACAGTTTTTTTTTCTCTCTCTCTCTAAATTCTTTGTATATTATTAAGGTATGTGGCTTATAATTATTGTTCAATATAATTGATTAGAAAGAAAGATAAACAAGACTTGCACAAGCCGACACAAGTTTGTGTATGTCAATTTTCATGTCCCCAGTTTTGGTACGGCAGTTAATGCTCTCACTCTCGCATACTCGTCAAACTTTGAAATTTTTGTTTGCATTTTATTTCTGACATTTTTTATATTTTCAGTTTTAAAGTTAAATCTACATATTTAGTTTTTGCTTGTAAATGAATTAGCAGTTATTAAATATTATTTTCAGCCTCTCCATTGATAATCTGTAGCTTAATTTAGTAAAATTTTACGACATCCTAGATTATTAGACTCCACATTCAAATTTTTGGACTGTCCTGAAATAGTAGATTATTTTCTTTATACTTCAGTTTCAAACATATTCCACCAACAACAAATAGAAACAAGAAATCCAGCAGCCAACTTACTAGTAAAACTTTAATTTGCATCCAACAAGATAGGATATACATCAGACGAAGCGTTGGTCTGAAAATCACTAGTAATCGTCCAATTATATTCATCGTTACCCGTCGAAAAGACCACCGATTCTCCTCTACGGAACGAATAATCTTCTTCTGTCAATTTTGCCCCTACACTCGATCCCATTTGAGCCATTCTCACACTCTCCAATTCCACAGCAACTTGTTTCATATACGGACGTTTCTTACCGTTCAAATCCAAACATCTTTTCGCAAGTTTTGCTACCGCGAGAACACCTCCACTTTCACCTTTCAACACTTGATCATCAAGAATCGAATCGAGGGTATTTTCGTCCATTAAAGACAAAAAACGAGACACCAAACTTCTATTATCTTCCGAATCAGTCATAGCCATTATTGGCTTAAGCCCCGTTAAAAGCTCCACAAGAACAACCCCAAAACTATAAACATCACTCTTCTCTGTATATTGGCTCGACTGGAAATACTCTGGATCGATATATCCAAACGTCCCGTTCACATTCGTGGTTAAATGAGTTTGATCCACTTGAACCGATTTCGAAATCCCGAAATCCGACACCTTCGCCACATATTTCTCGTCCAATAAAATATTGCTCGATTTTACATCCCTATGAAAAATCGGAAGAGAAGTTGCAGAGTGTAGATAAGCCAACGCACCAGAAATCTCCACTGCAATTTTCAAACGCATGTTCCAAGAAAATGGGAACTCGTTATTTCCACCATCATGTATGTGTTCAAAAAGGGTCCCGTTTGAAACAAATTCATAAACGAGAAGAGGGACTTTTGTCTCGAGACAGCACCCCAAAATCTTGACCACGTTCCTATGATTGATTTGTGATAATATGACAACCTCGTTTATGAATTGTTTGACTAGGGATTTGGATTTGTGTTCATCGACTAATTCGGATTTCTTGATTGCGACTATTTGCCCATCGGAAAGCATGCCTTTGTAGACAGTGCCTTGACCTCCTTGACCGAGTATTCGGCTCTCGTTGAACCGATCGGTGGCTTTCTCGAGCTCTTTAGCGGTGAATGTTCGTGTGTTCTTTACTAGGATACCTTGTTTGACTGAGGTTTGTTGCTGCTGTAGTAAAAGGCCCCCGTTTTGTTTGAAGAATTTTTGTTTTCGGTTTTTAATTTTTCTCTTTTTCACGAATTTGGCGGAGATGAAGGAGATCGATAATAACGTTAGGAAACCCATTCCGGATATCAAACCTGTAAAAAAATCAGAAAGACAAACCAACAAGCCTAAATCAATATGCCAAAAATGGTACAATATTACTAATACCGAGTTTTAAAGTTGAAAAAGTGAAGGTTTTATGTACTTCTGCACCATCTCATTAAACAATAACAATTTAGAATTATTCATGTCTCGTTATTGAATATTTTTAGACATCTAATCTTTCGGGTTCTCGTTTTCTTTTTTTTTCTTTTTTCAATTATTTATTTACATGTACAGGCAGGCCGGTGTAAGCACCAAAAGTCAAATAAATTGTTTCTTGTTAACTTAGTCTATGACACTGATCAATCAGGTTATTAAATGCACAAGATAAACAAACAAAAGGGACACCAAAGACAGCTTCGCAAAGTTAGACCTTTTGCATAAGCAAGAATCAGTCAATCCAATCCCCTTTCGACAAATCTTCGCTCATTAAATAAAAATAAACAATAATAATAAAAAAATATTTGCAATATTAGTTGGAAAATTTACCTATAGACAATTTGCTCATCTTGGAGTAAGGAATATCCACCAAGAAACAACCAGTACTATTTCTCCAGCCATTACCATAATATCCAGCAGCACATTCACACCTATAATCTCCCGGATTATTGATGCAAACCCCTGTCGAGTGGCATGGATTACTTTTACACTCATCGATATCTAATCCCAAAAAAAATTATTAAAAAAAATCCAAATTAAAACACAAAAACGACAGTAAAACAACAACTAAAAAATGGGCGTAATTAAAAACTAACCATGGCAACCAAGAGGGAGATAAGGATTGCCTTGATATCCTTTCCAGCACTTACACCGATACCCTCCAACTCCGGCATCGGCATCGATGCAGTCGCTATTCCCGTAGCAACCAAAACCATTGGAATCCTTCCTCCGAGCCTCACTGCAATTCTCCGTTCCAATCCTCCAATCCAACACCACAGAAACTTCATTCAACCAATTTGAAATAGTCATCGGAGGCTTATACAGGTCAGAAACTGCACTAAAGGCAAAACTCTCTCTCTCCCCAATGAAGGAATAGCTACAAGGCTTAGTCCCCACATTCCCCCACCTATCTTCCAAACCGGAGATCGAAGAGTTGATGAAAACGGTACCTTTCGGAATGGGAATCTGGCAGCACCCGTTTCCAGGGCATGACCCGTTGAGCGACAGATCACCGTCGGAGCAGAACGAAACGCAGCCGTAGGCGAAGTTACTGCGGGTGAGACTCGGAGGATCGAACTGCTGTGACAAACCCTCGATCACAGCCAGGTCGGAGCAGCCGATCTGAGTCAGCGTGTTGGAGCTGGATAGGGTGTAGGGAGTCCCCGAGAAATCGAGGGTCAAATTGGTCTTTATGGTGGTGTTGATGGTGTTGTAGCATTGGCTGGCGAAGAAGGGGTTATTGATTCTTATCTCGGAATCGGAGATGCTGACGAGGCGGTAGTCGTCTCGGGTGGAGACGAGCATGTATGCGGGGTCCACGGTGTGGTCGCAGTAGATTTCAAACCATGGGTTTAGTGCGCAGTTTGAGCCGATTCCGACTCCGAATGGGTATGGGATTGTGATGTTTCCGCATTTGCTCGGGCACCCTGGTTTGGTCATGATGATGTCATCCCCGGTGGAATTTGATGATGTTGTACGAGTCAACTTGGCTGAGAGAAGGGAAAACAAGAAGAGATGGATTAGTGTAATAGTAGACATTTTACGGAGTTTCTTACAGGTTTAATTAGCAGATTGTTTAATTATATATATTGTAGTTGGCCGTCCATTCCAATTTGCTGGGGTGATGGAATTTATTTAATTAGCACTTTTTTTCTTTAATTTAATTAATCATTCTTGAATTTTTTTTTACTTTTCTTATTACTCATTCTTGATTTTTTATTTTTTTTCACTCGGTTGTTTGACCGATGATTTTACGATTTTGCCCGTCATTCGATTATTCTGCACAATTGCTCATTTCGTGATTCATTCAACATAACAAATAGTAATTGACTGGATCAAGAAATTGAACTGAAAAGATATGAAATTGCAACCAAAATTAGGGAAGAAAATTTGGGTCTCCATTCATAAATCCGGACCAAAATCGAAATCGATCAAATCTATGGCTACAGCAGAGAAAGCAACAAATTGAAGAAGAAGCAAACACAAATTAAGAAGAAAAAAATCGAAAATTACATACAGGGATAGGGAAAAAGATGGCAAAATCAGAGCGACTCCTGAAGATCGTCGGATCCTTCTAGATTCTTCCTCTTATTCATTTCTTCCTCGTACTTGATCAATTTCTGCTTCCACATCTCCTGAAACAGAAATTAACACCCCAAAAAATTGAAATTTCGATCAAAAAAAAAAACGAGAGAGAGAGAATTGAGATCAAAAGAACAAACCTTGTACTTGAGTTCAGCTCGGTGCATCAAATAGAAGCCGAGAACGCCACCAAGTACAGTACCCGAAATTATCCTAAAATAACCCCATCTCGGATTCTTCAGCTCCATTCTCCCCCCCAAACCCCCAAAATTAATTTACGATTTTAGGTCTACCGCAACGGCACTGAAACCCCAACTAATCAATGGCAAAATATATACCCGCCGTAAATACGCCGCCGCCGCCGCCGCCGCACCTGTGAATTCGAATTCGAGTGCACAAAAATCACCGAGAGAGATGCAAAACGATGACAACTGTGGAAATATGTTTCCATATTTAGGGCTTTTATATGGGCCTGAAATCGGGCTCTCAAATTGCAGCCCAACTCTTTTTTACTATTTATGGATTTATTCGGGCCCATTTATATTAGAGCCCATTTATGTAATTGTTTTATTTTTCTTTTTTATATCTAATAAAATATTGATTAATTAATTAAACGATTAATTAACCACATCACTTAATTATATATTGCTTTTTTTTGTATATTTTATTTTAATCATATATATATATGGCAGTATATGAAGGGCCCTCATTATGATTTGATTGTCGATAATCAAAGAGAAAATGCAAGTGTTCTTTGTCTCTTTCCTTCTGCCATAATATTTCAAATCGTTATGTCACATTTAAGATATTATTTCTTTAATCTTATAATGGGAAAAAAATGTAAAATTTAATTATTATACCAATATTGAGTTATGGCTCAAATTATTCTAATAATTACTTATCTGATTGTATGATTAATGTGTAAAGTTAGAACATTACTCGGTCATCCCTATGTATTTCCTAATGTATTTGAGATCAAATAAGAGCGAGAATTGAAAAGAAATTTACAATTTTTTGGATTAGATTCGAAAAGTTATATTTTTTCTCTATTTTTTTTTGGGGTGGTTGTCACTTGTCACATTGAAATTGAAAATTGAAATACATATAGAATTCGATTTCTGATCCCATCCCAATTTTTGATTTTCTTTCCTTCAAAAAGTACATTTATTATATCAATATTATTATGTATTTATAATATATACAAATAAAAAATAAAATAAAAATTTGATTCCGGAACATGCTTTTTTTCTAACTAAATTGAAATTTAGTTTTTCACTAATACTAATCCGATTACACTTTTGCCAGGTACCAATTCAATAATTTACGTGTTTTGCAAATGCTATGCTACACTCGATGAATATAGTAGATGACCCTACACCATTAATTTATACGTGCATAATAACATACACTCATGTGTATGTGTAGTGTGCGGATATTTATATAGATCTATAGTACAAAATTACCCGATATTTTTCATCAACTATGGCATCTCGTAGACTTAATTTACGTGGTATCAACCACTATAAAAAAATAATATTAAAAAAATATTAGATTTAAACTTTTAGACAATGCAAAGTAAATTATGCCCTACTCCTTTGGGATAAGATGATCGTGATAACTATTTGACATCACAACTAAAAGTAAGCTTATACAAAGAGAACAATTAAAGATATGGGTACACTTAATTAAACAAATAATTACAATTAAAGGATGTTATTAATTGTTACACTTAATTAATAGAGGTGGGCTATGTTTAGAGACCTAATATTCGTCTCTAGTACACTTTGGCAAGAAAACTTACCTATAAAAATTGAAGCAACCATTTGTGGTATTTTCTTACACCACGTGAACCATGTTTGTTTGGCCAATCAAAACAACAAAAACAAATTGAGAGGTTATGTCAATTTGATTAATGTTTGTCCTTTGTTCTTCTTTTCTTGATTATTACATCCCACCAATTTCTTTGTAATTATTTTAACTAGTGACATAACCATTCATGCAAAGAATCTTGGTTTAATATATGTTTTTCCTAATTTGTTAGAGTTGTCTATTTTAAGTGCGAACCACCGGCTGACTCTGTAACTAGATTTTTTTTTTTTTATATCACGCATTCACTGTGTTCGTACAATCTCAGAGTATGCATCGTGGATCAAAAACAACCCTGAAAACATATTTTCAAAAGCAATTTGAATGTAAATGTAAGTTTGTAATATATAAATAGTTACTTGTTTCAATAATACAGCACAAAGTCACAACCAATATTTTGAGTATACTTTTATTAAATCTTAATATACCCTTCATGATTAGATTATGTTAACCACCAAATCATAATTTAGAAAATGTCTTTGAGGAATGATTTGGATTTTTTTATGGATTTCCTTATTTAGAATAGTACCATATATAGATTTTAGTTTGAAATCCTCAAGAATATACATTTACAAAGAGATTATGAACATATATATATATATAAAAAAAAAATTGGAATCTTTGTTTATTTCTTACTAGTTCAATAATTTAGTAACCTTTTAAAAATGATTATTTTTCGAACAAGTTGATCTGACTTTAATAAAAATTAAATCGTATGGTAGTACTATATAAATGCAATTAGGCGCACCTATAATTTAATTGTTCACATACCGATTGCTTCGATGATTTGCTTTACATCAATGATGTTGATCGTAAATAGACTAGATCGATCACGGGTCTTCGATTCTTAGTAAGTAGAGAGAGTCACCTTCACATATTCGAATATATAATAGAGAAATCTAATTTTTTTCGTCAACCTATAAAATAGTAGAAACATTAGGTGGTTCGTTCATATTTGTGCTTGCCCTTACCGCAAAAATAAAGATGAATTGAAAGTTTGTCGATAACCGAACTAATATGTATATATCTTTAGCTGTGTTATACGGGGAAGGCAATCGACCTTTTCATCGACGTGCAAATCTTCGTAACTATGACTAATATTCTTATTTATTTATTGATTTAACCAATAAAATTAGAGAAATAAATCACAATTAAATGCTTAATTGTATTCTTAATATAATTTTTAGTCCACTGAATATTTTGTCACTTTCAAATGCTTAAATTATTTTCTGTCCCTCAAAAGGTTAGTCACAGCGCTTCGAGAGTGATTGATTTAATGGCGCTACGAATAGAGCCTATCATATTATATATCTTTCATATTTAATTTAAAATTTACTTTTTTTTTTTTCAATCAATTATATTATAGGGTTGATTTTTTATTTTATTTTTTATTTCCCAGTTGTATATATAGGCAAAAGAATGATCGATGTCTAGTTGAGATTACGGCGTCTAATGATCTGAGTTCGATTCCCTCTATTAACACTTTTTAAATTGAATGAACTCGTTGCACCTTGTGTTGTTTGTATACACGGAAAAAAGTTTGCATTTGCTCCTTTATGTGTAAGAAAGTATTATAATTTTGATGTTTGTTCAGTGCATATATGTGGTTGTTAGTTCGAAACGAATGCCGAACACGAGAACCATCGAAAAAAAAAGAAAAAAAAGGGTGCAAAATACCTTTTTAAAGCTACATACTATAGAAAATATTAAATTTAATAAAGAAATTTATATATATATATATATATATATATATATATATATATATATATATATATAAACACGTTACACTCATGTCACTTTTGTGAGTATTGAAAAAGATGAGTGCAACTATTGGACAAGATGAATATAAGGTGATGAACTTACTAATATGGGTAAATAGAACTTTTCAAACACTTTCCTTCTTTCTTTTCATGATTGGGTTTGCAACCTTCAGTTTTAATGTGTGACTTTGTGACCCCCAATCCCCCACCCAACCCTCATCCTCACCACCAGGCCCCAACCCCAAACAACATTTTATAAATATCTTTTCTAATTAAATAAATATTTGCTATATATGATTTTTAAGAAGAGAGTTAATTTACATTGAAATTCAATAAGAAAAATTGAGACATTTTTTAAGTTTTCTCTTGGTCTTTGAATTTTAATTAGGAAAATATGAAAATAATATATTTTCACTTGAATATAATCTTTTCTTTTTTCAATCGCCATAATCAACCAATGAATTGTTGAAATTATTTGTGAAAGAAACGGGTAAAAGTGTTTAATTTCCTCGATTTTTTTTTTTTTTTTTTTATTTTTTGGTAGTAGCTATGTAGAGAAAAAATAAACTAAAAAAAGGGGATGCATCATGCATGTATAACAACCGATGATCAGTTGGCAAACACGAAATTAACTACGACTAATCGAGATTTACTTAACTAAAAAAATATAGTGAAACAATGGTTTTTCTTTATTCCAATGGAAAACATTTCATTTATCTAATCATATATAAAGTTTGTGGTGACATTATATTATAATTAATGCCGGGGGCCAATATATACTCCTACCTTTTTTTTAATAAATATTATTTTATTTTTATATTAAAATATCTACAAACCCTAAATGCACCGAGTGCAAGAAACTCAACTACCGATTTATTGTTTGGACTTTGGACTATGTATGTATACATCACGCATGACAATTTATATATATTGCACAATAATTAAAGTCTTGACAAATATATTTATATAATATATATTTGTCAGATTAATTTATTTTTCTTATATTCAATTCTCGATAAATATTGCAAGGAGCCAAATTACATGACCAATAATTATTTGTTTTTTAAAAGTATACACTCGTCATTAATATTGACATGTGACGAACTAAATCACATGAAATTAAAAATTAAAATTAAAAAAAGAAAAAAAATAATAAAATAAAGGTCTTATATACAATAATCAAAAAGTACAAGCACAAAAAGCACAAGGTACAACCTCCTGAATTCAGCAAGCCCAATTCAGCGTCTCGAAGCTGCATGGAGTCAAACCCCCACCGCCACCGCCACCGGCCACTTGTTCCAGAAAATACTCACAGAAGTCTCTATCCGACGCCCACCACGGCGGTTGCAACCACCCCTCCGCCGAGTCAACCACCGCCAACTCGGTACCCGACCCCGTCGAGCCGTCGTACCTCCCCTCCAAACTCGGCAACTGAATTATCTCCCCCAGCTCGTCATTCACCTCAGACGAAGAAACATCCGCCGCCGACGAAGACGCCGGAGAAGGGATGAAACCGGCGAGTTCCTCCATCGCCGCCGCCTTCGCCGCCGCAGCCTGGACGTCCTGGGGGGAGAGAGACGCCGGCCGCGGCAGAGAGTGGCTGAGTTGGGGGAAGTTGAGAACCGCCGAGTCACCCTTGATGCTCAGAGCCGCCACGTCGTGGGCCCTCGCGCCATCTCCGCCGTGGGGGTAGGTTCCGAGCCAAAATGCGAGACTTTTTCCGGGGCTGCCGGATTTCAGAAACCCATTTCCCCCAGCTTCTCATTCTCACACCTCTGTATACAGGATGCTTATTTCCACTCTCTCTCTCTCTTGTTTTCCGCTTCTTCTCAATTTTTTCCTCACCGTTGATTTTGCCCCACCCGGAGGATGATGAGTCCGACGAGGTTGCGGTGGCTGAACTCGGTGACTCAGCCATTCTTTTTTTTTTCTGTAATAATATGCGTATGAGAATGGTAGTTAGGAATATTCTTTATACATTTATATAGAGAGAGAGAGAGAGAGGAGAGAGAGTAGGAGAGAGAGGAGTAATGAGAAATGAATGAATATGAAAGTAATTTATATAGTGAAGAAAAATAAAATAAATAGAGAGTTGAGGGTATATATGATAATATATATTGATAGAAAAAAATGTGTGTTTGGTAATGAAGCAAAATGGGAAACATGAAAAAGACCTAGCAAATTAAAGAGACAAATATCAAGTGTACGTTGGAGTGTGACAACGATGTCCCTCATTGGACAAAAATAAAAATATCGTAATTTTTAAGGTAAATTACGGTCATCCCCTCATAAAATTTCAAATTACGAAAAAATTCCTTATATTTGGATAATTACAAAGTCATTCATCAATTACTTGCGATGTCAAATTTAGTGGAATCTTGTAGATTATGTGGAATATTCTCCAGTTTGTACCGTTTTACCCTTTATTTGAGGTCCATGTTTTGAAATAAGACGATCATAAGATGTGTCCATCGGCTTGTAAATATCAGATTGTGGTATCAGAAAATGCCTAGAGAACATTCCATGGAATCTGGAAGATTATGTTGAATTTGACACGATAATGGTGGATTTGTAAGAAGATTCTTAGTTGAAGTGGGTGATTGTAAATATCCAAACATTAGTGGTTTTTTTGTAATTTGATATTACTTTAGGGGTTGGCCGTAATTTACCCTTTAGATAAATAATAATATATAACTAGTCTAAGTTTGTACCGGCTAACATATAGTACACAAGCATATGTACCCATTTTGATGTGAATTAATTTGTAAAAATAAAAATAAATAAATAAAAAGAATTTATTTCGACAACAATATTAATTTCTGTTCAATTATTCAAAACTGAAGATCAAATGTACGTTTGTACTGTACATATACATTGGTCCGTGACTCCGTTTAACTTCCTACTTCCCGTCCATTTGGCCTACACGCGCTACACTTGTCTGAATTGTCAACTCCAATAAATAAATATAAATATAAATATAAATAAATAAAATACAGCAATAATTGAATTGATTTAAAATAACAAATTTTGAGAACAAAATATATTGTAGAAATAATGTAATGGCAAGTGTAAATAAATTTATTTGGATGAAGTAGAATAAACCTTGTGTAAATGGTCTCCCCGTTGTCCACGTGTGTAAATTTGTCCGTTGGGGGTCCCTATTATAATAATTATTATTTGTCCGTTGCGCTAACAATTTTTTATTTGTTGTTTTTTTAATTTTCAAATTCCACATGATGAAATATATTAATGTGACTATTCCTCCCACTTAGTGAAATGACTTATATCAGCTCCTAAAGTATTTAATTAAATTATCATTTAGATGCTTTTTGGAGTAACGGTCGATATTGATTTGTAGATACTACACTCGTTGATTTTACACCATTGGTCAGCACGCACGTACACACATATATACGTATATGTGCTTAGTGGTTTTTCTTCCATGCCTGCTCGTTTTCGCTCATTTTTTTTTTTACCATTTTAACCCTCCTATCGTCTGATTATTCAATTTGCACCTAGATCACGATAATGAAGGCTGTAAGCACTCTATAATCATAAAAATCTAACAAAAATGCTTGTAACAAAGTATAATTTGAATGTAAAATCTATACTCAACAGTATTCAAATTAGTGTTAATATGGTACTCAAATCCGTATGTTTTAAAAGTATTGTCTTGATTTTTTCTTTCATATTTCATACTATTTATTACTTAATTAATCTCAATGATTAGTACTCTTAATTTGCTTGAGATTGAGTATTTGAAAAATATTTGAATTTCACAAGATTGGGTTGCATGGTTTGCTGCTAAAATATTTCGATTTATTGCTAGAATTAAATATATATATATTTATGAACAAAGCTAATTGTAATATATTTTATTTGACTAAAAAAAAGAAGCAGAATATATAGTAATATATTCCTCGTAAGATTTTCTTTTCATTTGTGGTGAAAAAAAATCTATGACGAGTCCGTGAGATAAAAAGGCAATGTGTCAGAGGATTATTTGTTTGCACGTGGTACTTTGTTTTCAGTACATGTACTCTTTTTTTTTGTTTCTTTCTCTTTGCTATTTTTTATTTATTTTAATTTTAATTATCATCCAATTATAATTTAATGTATATTCGTAGTATATATTGTTTGGGGCTAGATATATATATAAAAATTGGGCTTGGCTATTAGAAATTAGGCCTTTGTGAAGCAACAAAAGCCCAAATAACAAAATTATTGATAATACGTCTTTACAAAAGAAGCCCAGTTGTTTTTTTTTTGAACAGAAAAGAAGCCCAAAATTAAAACCAATAAAAGTTAGGGTAAACTACACCTACACCCCTAAGGTATGTTAACATAACTTTAAGGTCCCTTTAGTATCGGTAATTACAATCACCCCCCGAAACATTGTTTGAAACCCTAACGGAATAATGCATGGCACAAGTTTTTCAGTTAAGGCTCTAACTGACTATTAGTTTCAGGCAGTGGTGGAGACAACATAGAGTTAGTGGGTGACACGACTGTCGTAACATTTCTTAAATCCTTATTATTTTATATAAGATTTATATAATTTTCCTCTACGGTAGCGTTAACGGCCCCGCGAGAAACAAATATAGTGCATATCAGTTCCCAGGACATGAAATCTCCGATAATTATTTTAGGGATGTGGCTGTCATTCATTCTAAAACTTATATATATGCTACAATTTCTGAAATAAATCAGGTATTTTTTTAATTTAATTTAATTTACACAAAATCATATATACATAGATGTGTATGCTATAACCGAATGCAATTTGTCGGGAGTAGCATAGAGCAAACTATTCGTAAATCGTAATTATGTTTGAGAAAGAAACGGGAAATTTTGACATTTTGGGGCGGTGCAAGGTCTCGGTGCAACGACACGCGATATACTTACGATTCGTGTATCTACCGATCCTGTAATCGGAATGTGCTTTTGTTAGGAACGAAGAGAAGAAGATAACCGGCGAATCGTACAGCTTGTTTTAATGAGAGGGAGAGGAAAAAAATTATAAACCAATCGAATTTAATTAGATTTTTCTCTCTCGATTGAGTAGAAATATTGAAAGTATTACAAAATTATTAAGTCAACAAAAATATGTAAATTGTCAACGGTATTTTTTTTATATAATGATGAACGAAGCTAATCTGCAAATGACTGAATGAGTTTGTTCACCTAATGTGTGTGTTTATTAGACATGAGACAATTAGTAAAACCTAAACTTAACTAACTAATTAATTGGTATTCTTTGTGTTTTCCGAGGTCAGCGTCAGTTGCCCGAAACTAGCTAAGTAGTTGGACAAATTCAAATCTTATTTTGTTAAATTATTAATTTTTGTTTATTTTTTCCTAAAACAATCATGAATTATTGTATTTTTTTTAATAATATTTTAAAAAATATAAACTTATGCCATATTTTCTTTTGTATTCAAATGTATATAATATAAAATTAAACAAGTACTGATTTTGATATCAATCATATTATTTGTTTTTTTTTTTTACCCAAATTATTTGTCACTTAACGGTTCCAATGAATCATTAATTACACTATTTTCAATCTTACTGTTTATCACTCTCTATTAATTACCTGAAAAACAATTAATTACAATGATATTTCATTAATGTTCTAAGTATTTTACTAAAATATATGCACATTTATTGATTTTCTTAAATTACGTACAACAGCAAAAACGACATCTAATATGGAAGGAAGAGAGTACTAAATAAAATCCTACATGATTTGATAAGTAAAATATAATTTGTACAAACAATCTCATCTTGAAGTATAAATAAATATTACCTAAATAAATTATCTAATATAGAAATGTTCCAAGATAAATTGATTTATTATTTATTTATTATTATTATTATTATTATTATTATTATTATTATTATTCATTTATTTTTTTTATTTTTTTATGGATCAGTTGGCAAAAATGAGCATGACAACATCATGCACTTTGCAACAACTGCATTTTCCCTAAAACCATTCCCCATCAACTTTGCATTCTTTCTTAGTGGGCTTTCATCTAATTTGTTAATTATATTAAATATTAATATAACATTTTACATATATACCCTTCGCTCTCAAATCCACTTAAAAAGCTACTTGAGGGTAAATTCGGTATTTCCGATCTCGCTAATGCAATTAACCTAATATTGGATTATACTAATTGCGGAGCATTATAGTGAAGAAAAACACACGTGTGCTCATGAATTAATTAAAATTATGCTTTAATTACTTGTATATATATATAAAAGCTCAACCAAAAAACAAATCCTCTGTACTTTCTGCCATTTTCTGAAACTGAAAAACCACTTCTCAAATTACTCACTCCTCAATTTTTAGGCCGCAAATGGAAACCTCCGGCGCCGCCGATCGCGACGGAGTAGACACCTCGTACAAGCCGCTTCCGCCGCTTTACTTCGCTTTCGCCATCATCTGGATTCTCTCCGCCGTTTCATGGACCCTCAACACCCACAAATACCGCCATTTTCAGGTTATATTTCATCACTAATTTAAAACCCTTAGTTTTTTTAATTTCCCCCTTTATTCAGTATTCCCACACTTTTCTCGTTTCACTATTAGCATTTTGAGGTGATTATATATACACATATAATGTGTTTTAGGGGATATTTTTTATTTGAGTTTAAAAAAAATGGTTCTTTATTAATTTTGCTATGAACCCTAAGTAATTTGAGTTCCTAATTTTACTGCAGCAGCCGAATAAATTGCAGTGGATGCTCGCCTCTGTTCCGTGGATTAAATCGTTGCAACTTTCACTATCTTTCCTTTTCTGGTACACCTTCAATGTATACCAAATGATGCATATTAATGGTATCTATGAGTTTAATTGTTCTAATTCCATTTAATTAATCTTGATTAATTGCAGGTATTCGTGTTATTATTCGAATGTGTGCTCTATATGGATGTCGTTTGGGGTTTACATAATGGGCATACTATTTCAAACATCTGCTTTCGGATCGTTCTTTCTAATTTCTCACGGTTATTGCATCACATGCCATCGAATTACATTATCCGAACGAAGATCAATGGCTACTATGGGGTGTGCCTTTTACTTCACTCTCGTTGGTTACAAAGCTTCTATACCTTATTTTTCCGTGAGTTCTCTATTTTCTTATTGTTGATCTTTCAATTGAATTTGCTAAAAAAAAAGGGTCATCTAATTTTGGGTATTCACTTTTTTTGTTTTTGTTTTTTCGAAGGTGCTGTTGTTGCTCAATTATCTTGTTGTGTTCTATGTGATATTCGACCATGTGTCGCGGAATTTAATCGTTTTGCGGGATCAGTTGAGTTTTATAGAGGACGAGGATGTACAGGCGATGCATGATGCTGTATATACAAAATACATCATGTTCAAGTATGTATTTATATGTTTTTGTCTTCTAAATTCCTCCGAAGGTTCTATATAACTAGTGTCATAATTTATTTATTTTTTAATTCAGGAAATTTCAAGGAGCAATGCACATTGTTGCTGTTTCGGAACTAGCAGTATGAACATATTCTATCGGCCTATTTGAATTTAATTTTGAACCGTATAAAAGTAAAACAACGAGCATCTCTTGAGCTTTGTTTATGCAGCAAAATGAACATTCTGTTTTTTATTTCAGATTTTAATTAGTCTCGACAATTCATTGGAAACTTTTTGGATGCGTTTGGTGGTTCGTGAGTGGGCACAATTCTTCATCTTCATGTACATTGGGTAAATAATAAATAACCAATCTTATGTGTTAATACCAAATTTTACTTTTAAGAAAAGGGGGTTTTGGACTTGGACTATTAACGAGGATTCCCTTTCCTTTTATTGCAGGTGGATTTTCAGGTGTCAAGATTTCGCACCCCGTTTCTCAGTTATGCCTACTTGGAGTTCTAAAGGGGAGACAATAGTACCTCCCATTTACAGCATTGTAAGTTGAAGGGGTTCTTTTAAACCTTATATTTGTGACACTATTGGGGAAATAATCGATATACATACACTTTAAATTGAAATTCAGTAATTTGAGGCTTTAATTTCTACTTGTACCCAATAATCACTTAAACTGTATGTGATTTGAAGTACTCTGCTTGTTACTGCAGGAAATGGATGCTGCGACTTTCAAAGGATTTACAAGTCATGAATGGCACATTGGTGTGGTAAGTGATTTTCGGTATTTAATCTAAAAATTTGCATTTCTCAAACGGGCGTATTTTATAATATATATTTGATATAATCTTTATTAAGTGACACGTATTGTAAATGTCTCTGCCGATTTTGTAGCCAACTTTGCTGAATAAGGGGAGCGTAAAGGATTCGGTTGTAGTTGTGATTAGGCAGCCACATTCGTAGAGCTTAATTAACGGTGGCCATTCATAGGGCGACACACGACAGGGGGTCATGGCCCCCTCGGCGCTTGTAAAAAAACTTAGTATTTGAATATGAGGAGTTTAAGTTGTGATCGAAGAAAGTTCCAGAAAGATCTACGGCATGAGCTCCAAGAACTCATTCCCAGACAGTGGATTGCCGAAGAGTTTTTGCTTGTAAAGATTTTGGTTCTTGATTTTTGCTATGATTTAAAAAAAAAAAAAAAGTTGAATTATGTTACTGTGGCTTTATAATTGAAGCCCATTAATGTAAATGTATAGTGAATTAATGAAAATTGTACATTCTTATTTCAATTTTTCAATGTTGACTTGCATGAGGTTTATTATAAAAACAACACAGTGAAGCTCACCGAGCAATATTGAACATGTATTTTATTCTTATAAATTCAGTTCTTAGGAAAAAAAAATAATTTTCAATTAAATGTAGATTCTAGCAAGATTCGGCCGATTAAAATTTCAACCTTTTTCTGGGCTGGACTCTCTACCCATTTGGGCCTAATTTGAAAGCCCAATATCAGAAAATAGCTTAAAATGAAGAAAAAATAATCTAAAAAAAATGGCGTATTAACCAGGCTTCCTCGGATGAAAATCAATTGAAAAGCTCGAGCAATGAGTGCAGGTCCGTACTACTTCTCTCTCCTTTTTTTAGGGATTTAGGGCTTTTCATGTGAACATATATATATGATTTTCTTATTATAATTTTGGTAATTTTAGATTAATCAAACATAGTTTTGCTCCATAGATTTAATCTGATTTTGAAAATTTGACCACCGGATTATGCTTTAGTAATTTGATTGCCAGTTTCGTTGGGTGTAATAGTGGTCGCCAATGTATGTACATATTTTTGTATATATATATATATATGTGTGTGTGTGTGTGTGTGTGTGTGTGTGTGTGCCAAAAAATGATTGGTTTATAAGATGAATGAAGCTCAAGTGACCAAAAAGGCAATGGAATCATTGTATAATTTTAATTTAATTTTGTGTTTTTTGGGTTAATCGAATAATTGTTCGGTGTCTTCATTAGTGGTTATGCTGTCAGTGATCTCAGTTGTTAATTGATACGAATAGGGGGACAATTTGGTGGAAATCGAGGGGCGAGACCAGTGCCGCCCGAAAAAGGAGTTTTCCCGTTGGACCATATGCATCTATGCGACTTGGTACGATCACTTTAAAAAGATCTCGTCTTTCATACTACGTATGTTTCTTTTAGAAGATTACGGAGCATGCTAATAAGCTGTGTTTGGTTTGAACTTCGAAGAAATTATTTTTAAATATATATATTCATATGGTTTGCTTAGTTATCGAAGATGATTTTTCTTCAGGAAAAGAAAGACTACATTGGCTGTCTGAAGTCAACCGGCCATCAATCCGACAAATGTAGACAATTCTCGAAAAAATACCTGGAATGCCGTATGGAGAAGTAAGTGCGTTTCGATTTTTCGCTGTTGTGCCTTTTGCACTTTCAATGTAATGTTTTATGATATATAATGCATAGTTGTTTGTGATTCATTGTTATTGTTATTTATGATCATCATTAACCCATCGATCCGAAAGAGGGAGGATTTTTTTCGATTTCTTGTTATTACTCAAAAAAAAAACACAAAAAGCTGAATTGTAGTACAACATTTGACATGTCATTGATGATTAAGGATTAAAGGTCTCCCAGTTGATCAGATTTAGGATCTAATCACATATTTTGATAATTCGAAACTGAACTTAGAAAATTATGTGAAATCGTTAAGTTGTTTAGGGAAGGGTATAAACTGATTATCAAGGCTTGGTTTTAGATCTTCAGTATCTATCTTTAAAGAAACTAAAGATTTAGAAACTAATGTGTGATGAACTTTTGTGCAGGAATTTGATGGCAAGGCAAGATATGTCGGAACTCGGATTTCGAAAGGAAGGCGAATCGCAAGCTTCCGTAGATGAAAGTGACACCGGAAGGATAGACAAATGATTTTTTATTTTATTTTTTGATTATTTACTTTTTCCTCTGCCCGTCGAGTGATAGTAGATCATCTAATGAAAAATTTAACCATATATCAGAAACTGTACTATACTGTACTAATACCGTAAAGTTCTGGCCTTTGGTTTCGATTTTGAAGGAAAGACGAGACTTCTAAACATTGGTTCGGTTTCGAGCCTACGTTTGGAAATGCTGTAGATTGATGAACATAACATTAAGCAATAATTCATTCTGGTTTATTTGAAATATCTTGATTTGTGACGACAAATTATGGTCCGACAGAGATTTTTACGAGGTAAAAATTTGAACCCGTTTTTGGCCCGTGAACTGAAACGGAGCTGAATAAAACAAGAAAATTGGATAAGAATTGACGTCGGATGAAAAACGAAGCAGACAAAACTGTACATTTGTTGTTGATTTGTGAAAACGATGGATGAACAATTTGTGTTCTTCTTGATGTTTTTTGCTGGCGGGAGGAAATTACTAAGAACAATTTAATGGCATCTTATTCCAGTTGGATTTGTTTTTGTTGTTTTTTTTTTTAATTTCTTTATTTATTATTTTTTATATATTTTTTTTTTGCCTCGGTGGCTTCAACATGATACTTTAAATGTCCACCAACACCATTTCTACCTTCCTTTTGCTTCTGCATTTCCATGGCTTCCAACTTTTCTCTGCGATCCTCCTTTTTCTGCAATCCGTAAGCTCTCTCTCTCTCTCTCTCTCTCTCTCTCTCTCTCTCTCTCTCTCTCTCTCTCTCTCTCTCTCTCTCTCTCTCTCTCTCTCTCTCTCTCTCTCTCTCTCTCTCTCTCTCTCTCTCTCTCACACACACACACCCAATTTATAATCTTAAGTTCACATCATCCGTTGTATATCAGTAATGAAAGTAGTTGACTTATTATATCAAGATTCAAGGATGACTGCCGTTAATGTGTGTGTGTGTGTGTGTGTGTGTGTGTGTTTTAGAGAGAGAGAGAGAAATTGGGTTCTTTCAATAAAGAATAAAGTTCAAAACTGTGTTCTCTGTTTGGCAGAAAAGCTGTTTTTCAATCAGAAGATATATCAAATTTCAAGACCAATTCACCATTCACATCCAAGATCATAGTCAAAGAGCAAGACAGGCACAATTGGAAAATTTCCAAAATCGCCCCTCCGAAGAAATTCCTCCTCACCCGTGTACGGACATCTCGAAAATCATCGTTCAATTGGAATATTCCTCCCGGAGCACAATCACCAGTAGTGGAATCCAGTCCCAACATTGTTGAGGTCGATGACTGCTCATTGGTCAAGTTACAAAGCAGCAAAACTGAGTTCAATCGAGTCAACTGCCTCGTACGGGCATTGCACGAATCTTCTAGAAGCTTCTCCCTCGCAATGCAGACTCACGAATTCGTTAGAACGGGACCCCCCGTTGCAATGGCCTGGAATGGAGTCGATGTTCATGCTTGGCACAAACACATTGCATATCAGGTATACATATACATATACATACACATACATACATACATATATGTACTAATTATAAAATCAAATTTAAACCTGTCATTGTCCAGGTGGCAGCATATGCTTTGCTAGAAGCAGCAATCGAAGTTGAGCTTTTTCTTTCCCACAATCGCTTCAACAACCCGTCTCCCGTTCACAAAATGTAAGTTATTGTAAAATTTTATGTAAAATTTCATTTATCTGTTGATATAAGAAAAGAAAAAAAAATTACGTTTCTTGTTTATGTTCGCCAGCCTGTCTCCGAATACGAGCTTTCTTCGAGAAAAAATAGAAAGTCAATTAAATGCAAGAAACCCAAAATTGGTAGAATGGTTTCGAACGGTTGAGCTTCCACGCTTATCTGGATATTTCATGCCTTTATTCAAGAAATGGTCGATGGAATACGCCGGAAGGTTCTAAAATTATTTAATTTTCTACTAATTTTCGTTAAAAAAACAGAAAAAAAAAACGAAAAATTCTAATATACGAATAACTCAGTGGCGTTGCAGGAACAATTATGGCTATAACTTGTTGTGCTGCAGTCGGGAAGTTAGATTCGGGCCGAATATCATGTTCCTCGTTTTCGATTTCAATTGAGGAAGCAATAATCGAGCTAATGACTATGGCCCACGATCTCGTTTGCATAGATAAACTGCACCAGTTATCGACTGAGGCTGGATTTGAGGACCATTTTTTGTCCCGTTTTGGAAGTAAAGTTCTTCCGAGTAAAAATGTCGAAGACATTGAATTTTGGATCGGTCTTGTTCAGACAAAACTTTCCGTAGCTTTCGAAAGAGAGAGTGTTGTTACTAAAAGCAGACATAACCTTTCTGACAAGGTCTTAATTTACAATCTATCGAGTTTTTTTAATTTGGGTTTTTTTTTTGCAAAATAAAATTCGATTTTTTAATTTGCAGGTTGGAGAAAATAGTTTGGCTACTTTAGCACTATTTGCTTACTTAGGAAGAGAAGCAAGGCTGTTCTTGTTAAGGCACAATATAAAGGATATCGACGAGCCAATAAACGATTTTCTAAGGTATATTTTATTATATTTCGTCTTTTATTTTTGTTTTTTATCATTTCGATCGTACTTAAGTAGTCGTGTTCTTTTTTTTTTTTTTTTTTTTTTGCAGTTACTTGGAATGTGGTATACTTTTCATATATCCGGAATTCTCGACGTTATCGGAGTATCAGCTCTTAATGGAGGTCGAAGTTAATACTTCAAAATTATAACAAACGCTTTCGTAGTAAAACAAAGTGTCTGAAAATTATTTGCTGCTCTTAAATAGGTAATTATCGATGAAATTGGGTGGCTCGATTTTTTCACTGCGTATAACTGCGACCTGTGTCAAGAAAGACGAAGATCAAAAACCCATCCAATCCAGGCTGAACAGGAGATTATTTTATACGCGGTTTTCACCATATGCTACGATATAATATCGGGATTTGCTCATTACACAAGTTCTACACAGCAGAACTTAGATGCTGAGTTATTGGAGTTTTTGCTCCAAAGGTGATGAATCAATTTATGATTTTTTTTTAATAATTATTATTTATGACTCTTGGTTTTTGACCTTTTTGCCCCTTAGTCAGAGCCTGCTATCGATGTGTTTAGAGGATTACTGGGCTGCTTACGACAGAACCGGGTAAGATAAATTAGCGAAATTCAGACAAAATAAAAAGCGTGTCCTACATTTGATTGATGGTTCTTTATTTTTTATTTTTTTTTTATTAATGTTTCTGAAGCAGAGACCTACCAAAAGTAAGGGAAATAAACGGAAGTGATTCAGCACCGTCTTTTCTGAAAATGGGCCGAAAGAATTCTTCGATAATGATGGATTCACTTCATCGGCCAGAGGAGTTACGAAATAGAGACAAACACAGACAAATATCTCCACAGACAGAGGTATATACATATACATATATATATATATATATATATATATATATATATATATATATATATATATGAGGTGAGGTGGCATATGGTTACTGACTATTGATAAGAATGACAGGTCGCCAGCTCATCAAAGCCCGTCGAACGAAATTTTCTCAAAAAGTATGCGATGAAGCTTGTGGCTGCAAGTGTTGTGAGTTGAATAAAAATTAAATACTCGAGAAAATAACGGATTATTATATAATAATAATAATAATAATAATAATACTGAATTAGATATATTTAATATAGGATGTGTGGATGGGTACGCAGCTGCTATTTGTCGATACGTCGGAAACTGTGAGGTTTATAGTGAAGAAAATGTGGGGCCACAATGTGACGGAAAGAGAGAGGAAGAAAATGGAGAGAACGTTAGCTGATATTGCCACACTTATACCTGTCACAATACTAATGCTTCTCCCTGTAAGCATCGTATCTAATACCTCTCGATTTCTATCTCGTTATTTCGTAAATATAAATATAGAATTGAATATATATGTACGTATTTATCAGGTCTCTGCTGTTGGTCATGCAGCAATGTTTGCTGCAATTAAGAGATACATACCTTGTCTGGTAAAATTCAAATTAGTTATATATCATTACACTTTTTTTTTCCATGTTCGGAATTTCGTGCGAGTTTTATATAAGTCGTCGTTTTTTTTTTTTTAAGATTCCTTCTCCGTATTCGGATGAACGAATTAACTTAGTGAAGCAACTAAAGAGGACGAAGAAGATGGAAATGCTGCGGGTTGGTGTCGAAGAAACTGTCTCGAAAGGTGTTTAAGTAAATACAATTGTATTCACTCAATATATACTAAGAAATTACATTTAGTTGTCTGTATATAGACAGTGAAGCATAATAAGCAAGAATTTTCCTTTTTTTTTTTTTTTTTTTTTTTTTTTCTGTTAATAGTTTTTCGAAGCTTTACTTCACTTTTTATCGAAATATTTATATCAATTGATCTTTATCGATGATTTATCGTTTTCAACTTCGAGTTTGTCGTCCTATCCAAATTTACAAATTAGAACGAGATTTATTCAGAGCACATATATGGTTGTAGGTTTTTTTATAAAAAGAAAAAAAAAATAATAACAAATAGTAAAGAACTAAAAAGAATGGAATAAATGAAAATAAATTATTATTATTATTTTTTATTTGGCTAGCAATTTCAGAAGCAATTAAATATTCTGAAAAAAAAAAAAAAAGGCGAGCAAAAATGGATAATTGAGGTTTTGTGCAAGAGCCCTCCTTTTTTCCCCTTAAACCCTTCAAAAAATTCCCAATAAATAAGGCAACAATGCCCCAAAGTACAAACCTTCGCCTCCTTCTCTCCTCCGCCAACTGCCACCGCCGCCACCCTTTCTCCGCCGCCTCAAATTTCTTCCCCAAACATCTCTCCTTCTCATCCTCTTTCCAATTTTTCCTAAAACCCCAATTCAAAACCCGCGAAATCCCGCTCCTCTTCGCAACTTTTTCATCTTATTCCAAAAAACCTTACGCCACCAATAATAATAGCAATAACAACAACAAAAATTCACGCTCTTTTAACAGGAATCGTAGCACTCTGAGCGAAACAGCGAAGAAAGGGGATAATAATAATAATAATAATAAAAATAATAGTGATAAAGGTGGTTTCTTTGCAATGGAAGAAAAAAATACAAGTGCAGATGAGAAGTTTGGATTTAATAGAAAGAGGGCTGAAGGTAGAGATGATAGCGATAGGCCCAAAAAGCATTTGCAGCTTAAATCTCGAAAGCTTAATCCTGCCAATACTATTTCTTATGTTCAGGTAATGAACAATTTGTTAGCACATAATTTGTTTATTGTATTTAGGTTTTGCTTGCATTCGGCTTGTTTATGCGGCATTTGTGTACATCGGTAGGTTTCGATTTTGTTTCGTTGGCTATTATTTTTTTTAATTTTTCTGTTTGATGGTAGTTCTTATTAAGAAAGAGGTAAGTGATAATGATTGCTACTGTCTCCAATTTGTACTGTATAGATAGATATACAACGAGCGGTGATTTGGAGAATTGACACTTTGAATATTGCATTTTAGACTATGTAATATAAGTGATTAAAGGATTTTTCGTGTAGGAAGTAGTTGCTCTATATGATGTACCTTGGAAACTTGCATCGAGTCCTTATTCGTCGGTTATTGCTATTTACGTTAAGTTTGCACGATTTGGTGTGTGATCGAGTATCTTGTGGTGGGGTCTATTAACTATCAAGAACTTCATGCCGAATACGCAGAAGATTGAATGGAAATGTATAAAGAGTGAACGGGATGTTTTGCTTGAATTTGAATCGAACTTGTTTGTTTTGCCCTGCAGATTCTTGGAACTGGTATGGATACGCAAGACACGTCACCATCGGTTCTGCTGTTTTTCGACAAGCAAAGATTTATATTCAACGCTGGAGAAGTGAGTTCACTTTTTTTTGTTTTCAATTTTCGTTGGCTGATTTAATAATAAAATCAGTCTTTTGTGGCTAGACTCTGTAGGGAAAATTATGTATATTGTTAGGGTAAAATATTTATATGGAGTTTCTCGACTTATTGCTCTGTATCTAATACTTCTTACAGGGACTTCAACGCTTCTGCAGTGAGCATAAAATCAAATTGTCGAAGGTGTTTTTCCTTAAACATCCATCTCTTCGTTTTTTTTTTCTTTTTTTTTTTATTAATAATTACACAAGTATATTGTGACATTTATTTACTGTACTCTGTACATACTTCTCCAGATTGATCACATTTTTCTCTCACGTGTCTGCTCGGAAACTGCTGGCGGTCTTCCAGGTTATTCAAATATAATTTTTGCCTACAAAAATCCGATTTTATTCCTTAAATACGTTCTATAATAGATCGAGAGTGAACTCGTAAATTCTTGCAAGAAGTTAAAAAAAAATATTTTTTTTTCCCGCAGGTCTTTTATTGACCCTGGCAGGCATGGGTGATGAAGGAATGTCTGTAAGTATTAGTGATTATTATTTATTTTTAGTTAGTAAGGACTTATGAAATTGTAACTCTAAATTCATTATTGTTCTTAAGGTGAATGTGTGGGGTCCGTCGGATTTAAAATACCTAGTCGACGCAATGAAATCGTTCATCCCCAACGCTGCTATGGTCAACACACGTAGCTTCGGGCCCACACCGGATTCTAACGAATCTTCTAGAAGCATGCCACATAGGATTGACGAGCCTTTTGTTCTTATCGATGACGAGGTGGTCAAACTATCAGCTATACTCTTAAGACCAAGCCTTTTAGAAGTTTCCGAGCCGATGAAGGAAAAATCTAGTGCCAATGGTGATATTTCTGTTGTCTATATTTGTGAATTGGCAGAAATTAAGGGCAAATTCGATCCCAAAAAAGCTATTGCTCTTGGATTAAGGCCTGGCCCGAAATTCCGTGAACTACAGCTCGGAAATTCTGTTAAATCGGATAATCAAGATGTTATGGTAAAATATTTGTTTAGTATTTAAAAATTCTTTTTAAAGTTGGCTTTTTTATATTTTCTATTTTAATAGATGGGCCCCCCTTTTTTGATATATTTAGGTACACCCGAGTGATGTATTGGGTCCTTCTGTGGCTGGTCCTATCGTAATATTGGTCGATTGTCCAACCTCTTCGCATTTGCACGAGTTATCGTCTCTAAAATGTCTTGCTCCTTATTATATAGATACAGCTTACGATGTTCCGGAAGGTTCTAAACTCGTGAACTGTGTAATTCACCTAACTCCAGAATCTGTGTCGAAGACTGAGGATTATCGAATGTGGATGTCGAAATTTGGAGGCGCTCAGCATATTATGGCAGGGCATGAAATGTTGGTTTTCTTTGATAACTCTTTATAAATTTTATTTTTTAATTTTTGGATTTTTGATTTTTTTTATTCTTTGTAGGAAAAATATCGAGGTGCCGATTTTAAAAGCGAGTGCAAGAATCGCAGCACGTCTTAACTATTTGTGTCCTCAGTTTTTTCCGTCTCCCGGTTTTTGGTCTCTGCAGAACTTGAATTTATTGCCATCTGAGGCAATGGCATCACCACCTAAGGTATATTAAAAAAAAAAAAAAAACGTGTAAATTTTAATTGAGATAGTGTATTTAATTTAGTCGATTACGAGTAAAAAAAATTTTTTTTTTTTTTTTTTGCTTTATACTGATTATCTTCTCGATTCTTTCGTATCAGATTCCCTTGTTAAGAACCAGCGCACTGATTCCAGCAGAGAATCTTCTCAAGGTATTATGCTACTAAACTATAATACATGAATCATGATATATATATATATATATATATACAAGTTTTTGATATGTTCGATGCTTGTTATTTCTAATTAGCGTCTCTTTCAATTCACAGTTCCAGCTTCGTCCCTATGCAAATCTTGGACTCGACAAATCATCGATACCGAGTTTATCATCTCCCTCGGAAATCATCGAAGAGTTACTATCCGAGATTCCAGAGGTTAAAGATGCTTCTCAACAAATAACCAGTTTCTGGTCAGACAACAAAAAAGATATTAATATGGAAAAGACAATCACAGAAGAGCCTTGGTTGTCTGAAAATACACTCCCACCTTGTCTAGAAAACTTAACTCGAAAAGACATGGAAATTGTTCTTCTCGGAACCGGTTCTTCTCAGCCCTCTAAATATCGAAACGTCAGTTCTATTTTCATCGATTTATTCTCCAAAGGAAGCTTACTCTTAGATTGCGGTGAAGGAACCCTTGGACAGCTTAAACGAAGGTAACAAAAAAACAAAAAAAAAAAAATTAATGAACTGTCTCGGGGTTTTTTTTCTTGATTTAATATTTTTCAATTTTTTTTTGTCTGAAGATTTGGTGTACAAGGTGCCGACGAAGCTGTAAGAAAATTAAGATGCATATGGATTTCACATATACACGCAGATCATCACACGGGTCTAGCAAGAATTCTCGCCCTTCGACGAGATTTATTAAAGGGGACATCTCACGAGCCCGTGATTGTGGTGGGCCCGAGGCAGCTCAAGAGATTCCTTGCTGCATACCAGAGACTCGAGGATTTAGACATGCAGTTTCTAGATTGTTCTCAAACCACAGAAGCTTCTATAGAATCAAATCAAGGAGACAACAACAACAACAACAACAACAACAAAAACGGGAATGCCGATTCTACTCTATTTACAAGAGGGGTTCCAATGCAGAGCTACTGGAAAAGACCGATTAGCCCCTCCCAAGTAGCTGCTGCACTTCCAATACTCGAGTCTTTAAAGAAGGTTCTAAATGAAGCTGGATTAGAAGCGTTGATTAGTTTCCCCGTTATTCATTGCCCACAAGCGTTCGGTGTTGCAATAAGAGCTGCAGATAGGGTCAACGCCGCCGGAAAGAATATTCCGGGATGGAAAATCGTCTACTCCGGCGACACTAGGCCCTGTCCGGAGCTCGTCAGAGCTTCTCAGGGAGCCACCGTTCTTATCCACGAGGTGAGTTATATGAATTTTTTATTTTTATTTTTTATGTTTTAACACCTTTTATTATAATTGAAATGTCATATTTTCGGTGGGTCCCCTTTTTTTTCAGGCGACGTTTGAGGATAGTATGATAGATGAGGCGGTTGCGAGAAACCACAGTACGACTAAGGAAGCGGTGGAAGTGGGGAATTCGGCCGGAGCGTACCGGATAATTCTGACGCATTTCAGTCAAAGGTATCCGAAGATTCCGGTTTTCGAGGAGAGCCACATGCACAAAACGTGCGTGGCTTTCGACATGATGAGTGTGAATTTGGCAGATGTGCATGTTCTTCCTAGGGTGGTGCCCTACTTGAAACTACTCTTTAGAGATGAAATGATTGTTGATGAATCTGAAGATGTAGATTTAGTTACTGCAATTGCCTAATTTAAATTTAATTTTTGGAGGGATTTCTATCTGTATTTTTTTTAATTATATTTAAATAATATATTATTGATTGTTTATGCATCTTTCAATGACTTAAATCATTTATATATAAAAAAATTCCTGTTACATTGGCGCTATTTTATCTGTCTTGGGTTGTTGGGCACATAGGAAGAAAATTAATAAATAAGCATAGATTTTGAGGAAAAAAAAAAATATATATATATATATATATAATGTGAGTAAAAAATACATGTCGTTAGTCAGAATAATATGGAACAAGAAAAATTTCTTAAAGCAACGATTAATTTGGAACGGAGATAGTAATATGAAATGAGACTGATGCGTCACAATTAGTCAATTTTGAACTCAATTTTATTATATTTGAGCTAAAAAAATTCGTCTAAAAAATAAAATCCTAATTAGACCTCGTGTAGATATATGAATTTTGTAAAAATACTTGTGAAGCTGTCACCGAGTTAACAAAATTTCTAAGAACTCCCTAAAAAAATTTATATCATACTTGATTAATTTTTAGAATGTACTTAAAACTCTCATAGACTAAATTAGTCAATTTTGAACTCAATTTTATTATATTTGAGCTAAAAAAATTCGTCTAAAAAATAAAATCCTAATTAGACCTCGTGTAGATATATGAATTTTGTAAAAATACTTGTGAAGCTGTCACCGAGTTAACAAAATTTCTAAGAACTCCCTAAAAAAATTTATATCATACTTGATTAATTTTTAGAATGTACTTAAAACTCTCATAGACTATTCAATAGGATCACTTACTCCATTCGATTAAATCAATATCCACCATCCATTAACTAGCTGGTGTAGTATAAATAAGAGTAAGATTTCAATTGTAAACCAACCAAATAAATTTGTAAATACTTCCACTAATAATAAAGTCAATACGTTTGGTAGTTATTAAAATAATAAATTCGCTACAAATAATTTCTATAAAATTTTCTGAGGGGGTTTGAAATTTTAGGAGGGGTTTGAAATTTTAGGAAAACTATAGGACAATGTAAAACACATTTTGTGATCTAAATATCAAGAAAATATAGATGTGAGAATGCATATATTAAAATAAATCAAAATTAAATAGCTCAGCTAATAGAGCGTGTGTTACAAAAATACAGTAAAATATTAAGCTCAGTTAGTTAGAACGTGCGTTGAATAAAACAAAACTTAGTTATTGAAAGATTACATCATATAATTATAATTAAATAAATAAAATAAACAGCTGGAATAGCTCAGTTGGTTAGAGCGTGTGGCTGTTAACCACAAGGTCGTAGGTTCAACCCCTACTTCTAGCGATTGTAATTATAATTTTTTTTATTTTTTTATTTGTTATTACCAAACCAATTGAAAATATGTTTTTTTACAAAAAAAAATACCAAACCAATTGAAAATATGTTTTTTTACAAAAAAAATAAATAAATAAACAAAAACAAATTCGATTTCCCTATCATTTCTTATAATTTATTTTATTTTTTTAACAATTATAATTTTTTTTATTTTTTTATTTTATTTTTTTACAAAAAATTAAGATATTATTTGTTACTAGCAAACCAATTGAAAATATGTTTTTTTACAAAAAAAAAAAAAAAAAAAAAAAAAACAAAAAACAAAAACAAATTCGATTTCCCTATTATTTTTTTTCCTATTAGCGATTTTTTCAAAACCAATTGAAAATACATTTTTTTTTCTAATTGAAAATAATGTATTTCCCATTTTTTTTTAATTTTTTCTTTATCCGAAACTAAATTATTTTGCTTTTCTCCTAAACCCAAAATTTAAATATAAATACTTTAATATATACATTAGCCACCACAGCTCCCAATTTGAAGCTTCATAACATTTTCTTGACTAATAAAATTTTCCCAACTATTATAAAATAAAAAAATAAATTATATTTACTTATAAAGAACAACACATGAACCATATATCAGATAACTGATAAAATGAATTAGAACCATACATTCAACAACTCATGTTACACACATATATTCATATCCCATAAACTATATCTTCCTTTTTACAAATATTTATTTTAATCCAAATATCTAACAAAAAATGAGAATAATTCAACTCAACTCCCACAACCTAACTTCATTATTCTCAAAATCCAACAATTTCAAGAATTCACTAAAAACCCCTCATAATAATAATCATATCAGTTTCTCCAAAGTTAAGAAAATCAGAGCCGTCGAAACCGTAAGCGGCGCAGAATCGGAAGCTGCACCAGCTGCAGTAGAAGAAAACCCTGCTGTCAATTTCGCATTCGTTAGCGTGAGTGTTTAATAATTGATTAATTAATTAATTAATTAATTAGTAATACGAATTATACGTACGTGCATTCTTGAATTTTGTACGATTTTTAATATATATTTATTTTCGCGGGGTTTTGTTAGTCTGTGTTGCTGCCCGATGGAACACCGGACGTGCATTATCGTACGGCTAGCGGAGGGCAGAAACTTAGGGATATAATGCTGGATAACAACATTGAATTGTATGGACCATATGTAAGCAGATTTATTTTTCTTGGTTATTATTATTGGATAATGTTATATCTATATTTTACATTAGTTTAATTTATTATTTTGAAGAAATTTGTGTAATAAATAAGTTTGTATTTTGGTAATGTTGTTACAGTCTAGGCCTTTGCTAAACTGTGGTGGAGGAGGAACTTGTGCAACCTGCATTGTTGAGGTGATCCATTTTTTATTTTATTTTATTTTAATTAAATATTTGTAGCACGTGTATATAATTAATTAATTAAACAATAAATTTTTAATTGGACTAAAACAATTAATTATTTTATGATAGGTTGTTGATGGAAGGGAGTTACTAAGCCCTCGTACAGATAAAGAGAAAGAAAAACTCAAAAGGGTAATGTTTTGTATTTTATTTTAGTCCAGAATTTTTTTTACCAATTACAATTAAGTAGTAATAAAAATGTTATAAATTGTTAATAAATTTTTTATTGCAATATTGCAGAATCCAAAAAATTGGAGACTTGCTTGTCAGGCCACCGTTGGTCGACCGGATTCCAAAGGACTGGTTCGTTATTTTCCCTTATCTTTATTTTGTCGAAAGGTCTTCGATTAATTAGTTTTAATAAACGGCACCAATTTTTTCATGATTTCGAACAAAATGGTCCATTCTAATCATATTCCTTCGTATCCAGAATAAATTTAACTGAGGATAAAAATAAATTTTTTATTAAATTAATATTTTTTGTATAATTTTTTTTTAATCTTTATTTTTTTTAATTTTAATTTTATTTCCAATTTGGATAAAACACTCGAATATAAAAGTGACAAAGTTATACTTTTTCTTGATTCAGATATAAATATGTGGTGTACAATAATGATTTTTCCTAAATTAATGGATTGTCTGAAATTTGTGGTGATGACGTCACAGGTTGTGATCCAACAACTTCCGGAATGGAAAGCCCATGAATGGACTTATGGAAAGGACCCTCCTGAGGACGAAATTACTTATATTTAATATTTAATATATATTTATATTTGTTTATATTAGTTAATTCTTATTTAATTTAATAAAAAAAAACTCTTTTTTTATTTCATTATCAGAGGATAAACAATCAAATTAAAAGAAGGAATATGGAACTATCAGAACAAATAATGTTTATAACTAACATTTTTTACTCTTTCCATTTTTTTATTTTTATTTTTGTTTTTTTAGTGCACATGTGAATTTTCTACTTGTATTCCTTTTTCATTACTCTAACGGTCTATTTAAAAGAAGAAGAAAAAAAATGTTAAGTCACTTTAGATTTTCAATAATGTATTAAAACTCATTTTCCAAATATGCCCTTAGAGCTCGTCAAATGTTTCGAACTTAAAACGGACAAAAGAAATAATAAATGAAGAGAGACTTACGGTATGACATATTAGTCAAATTGTATATTTCTTCTGTAAAAATTCATACAAAATTACATGTTATTTGGACAACCTACAGCCACCGGACAGCCACCGATCAGAGGTAAGGTCGAATTATAATAAAAAAAAAACACCTTCATATTTATGTAACTACAACTACCCTTCAACTATTAATTTCTTACGAAGAAACCCTTCATATAGTAAATAATTTTGACAGCGTAAGGATGAACGTGTAAGACAATATATAATTGAGGGAGATGGGTTTTTTTAGTAATTTAACATTATATTAGGGCTGGTTCGTAATTTACCTTAATTAATTTTTGTGGTAATTTTTAGATGTAACTCAATAATTGTGAATAGTAGCATTGTGCATGATTGAGGCCTAAGCATCAAAAGAAGGTACAAAAAAAAACATGCATAGTTGTTAAATGTAGACATTAGCTAATTAGGGGCGGTTCACCAAATCCAATAATATTTTCCAGAAAACAACCCTTCCACCCCGAAAATTAAATTTTACTTCAAATCAAACCCCAAATTTTTCAAATTTCAAACAACAAAAGGAAGAAAAGAAAAGAAAATTACAAATCCACCCCTTCCTTTTATTACAAAAGATGACAAATATTCGCATTTTCGACCACAAACAAACTGGAAAAATTACAATTCAGACCCCGCAAGGCGCAAAGTTAGAAATCGCTGGCGAGTGGTGCATGCTCGTGGTGCATGAACACGTTGTCGTAGACGATCCCAGCCAATCCGCCTCCGATGAGTGGGCCCACCCAGTAGATCCAGTGTCCGGCGAAGTTGCCGCTGGCGACAGCGGGCCCGAATGAGCGGGCCGGGTTCATGGATCCGCCGGAGAATGGGCCGGCGGCTAGAATGTTGGCGCCAACGATGAACCCGATTGCGATGGGGGCGATTGTTCCGATGGAGCCCTTCTTGGGATCTGCTGCGGTGGCGTACACGGTGTACACAAGTGCGAAGGTGATGATTATTTCCATAACCACCCCTTGAATCGCTCCCACGCCAGCTCCAACTCCGTGTATCGGAATCGCCTGCGTTTAGATTTATTTTTAATTTAAGGAAAAAAAAATTCAGTAATTATAAAAAAACAATTAATGTTTTTTTTTTTTTTTTGACTGACCAAGCCGCCGGTGACGAAGCTGAGCAAGAAAGATGCAACGACGGCGCCGAGGAGCTGACGGATCCAGTATAAAAGGCCGGTGAGGATGGTGATCTGGCCGCCGACGGCCAAACCGAAGGTGACGGCGGGGTTGACGTGGCCGCCGGAGATGTTGGCTCCGATGGAAACCGCCACGAACAGAGCGAAGGCGTGGGCTACTGCGATCGCCACCAGTCCCGGCGCGTCGAGGGCGGAGTCGGCTGTCAACTTGTCTGTAGACAAAATCAGAACCCTAATTAAGACAATTGGATTTGCATGGGGATTGCATGGCTTTTTAAGCTTAATTAATTAATTAATTAATTAAAATTAAAAAGAAAAAAAACAAATATTAACTGAAAGCAATGGCGGAGCCGACGCCGGCGAAGACGAAAAGCAAGGTGGAGATGAACTCGGCGATGTACGCCTTGATTGAGCCAAAGCTGAACGAGTCATCGAATCGGCCGAAAGCGATTGCCATTTTTGTATGATCTGAAGAAAATTTGATCGGAGAAGTAGAGAGAGAAAATAGAGAGAGAAAGAGAAGAGAGAGTGAGAGATAACTGACTGTGTGTTGTGGAGCTTTCTAGGTGACGTATATATATACCGAGAAATCGAAGTATTTTTGGAATTTTAATATTAAATTATTATTAATTATTATTTAATTTCAGTTTGATGAGTATAAATTGTCTGAAGCGTATACTGTTTGCCTCGTTACAGGATAGTCACGAGGACCGCGTCCTACGTGGAAAATTCTATCTTCTATGTCTCATCCTTATTATTATTTTACTATTTTTTATTTTTTATTTTATTTTAATATTTTTTTTTCCGGTGAAATAATGCTAATTATTTTCTAATTTTGAATTTAAATATTAAAATTTATAGATGGGTAATTAATTCATTTGAACAAATTTCTGAGTCCGTCAACGGTCAAACACAAGAAAAATGATATTAATTACTTGAATTTAGGATCACAAATCATGTATAATTTTCACCTTATATTCTATATATACTGACGCAGATAATCCTATAAATAAATACGAGTCGTAAATAAAATAGAAAAAATAGTTTAAAAAAGGAAAAAAAAATAGTTTAATCTCATTTTGCACCCTTGAAATATTATTATTTAGTATTTTGCACCCTCAGAAAAACATATTAGCACTTTGACCCCTTGAAACACAATAAATTATGCCCAATGCATCCTAATGATTCTTTAGAATGTCAATTTTTTTCTTATCAAGTTATTCGAAAAGAAATTTTCTTACAATGATTTACCAATATTTTCACCAATTAAAATAAAAAATTCAGTGAGAAAAATATTTTATTTTTTATGTGAGAAAGTATAATTTTTAAGTAATTCAGTGTGATTTTCTTTTGCATTATGTAAGATCTAAATTAGTTTAGAGGGTAGAATTTTTTTTAGTTTTTATTTTGCATCCCGAAATAAAAACCAGTAAAAAATAAAACCGTCCTCATTAAGTTTTACGAACTCAATTCAGGGTGCATTTTGAATGATTAATTGCGTCTCAACGGTGCAATAAGCTATTAAGTTTTTTTAGGGTGTAAAGTGCCAAAGTACTATATTTCATGGGGTGCAAAATGTAAATAAAATAAACGAAAAGGGTATATGCTTTGTTCCAGGTATTTCCATGCATATCCAATCAAAACACAAGATGAAAGTCCAGCTGTCAATAACGTGCCCTAATGGAATTGTCTGGAAGGTGTTGCATAAGGTGGGTCCACGTGAACCGACCAATTGAAATGGAGAGAGTGGGGCCCACTTCTCTGCTTTTTCACTTGTTGTAAATAAAAGAGAAAAATTAAAGGTGATGGAGGCATGACCTAATTTGGGCCACATGTTGCGCCGACCTAGGTAATAAAAATTAGGCTTTTGTGGGTTTGTTGGATTTTTATTTTATTTATTTTTGATTAAAAAAAAAAAAGAAATTAAATTTTGAGGATAGGATTAGATGGGCTGCTTGATTATTTATTGGGGGTGGATAATGAAAATTTTAATTTAGGATGATTAGGGTTTAATAATTGAGGATTAGCAGGCATGATAGGGATGGATTGGGGGAATCTTGATTTGATTATGTTTTGGGTTGGCTATGAATTAATGAAATTTAAAATTTCACTATAGAATAGATTAAATATGGCCATCCAATATTATTTTAAATTGGTCTTAATATATTAGTAATTAAAATCGATTATTTATTCGATAGTCTAGGTAAAATCGAAGTTGAACTTAGTTGTTTATAATGGCCCGTTTGGCTAAGCTTAATTTAAGTATGTGATCAGCTTTAATGCGTGATAAATTATTTTAAGAGTTGATAAGCTTTTAAGGATTTGGATAATGCGATTATAACTATTTCTACTTATTATAAGATCTTCAATAACAAAAAAGTTAAATTACAACCAACCTCTTGAGGTAAAGGTCAATTTACGAAACCCCCTGAATTTCTTAGAAATTACATCTAGACCCATGCGCACTTTGTAAATTTCTTACATCCACTCACTAAAAAGGATGTTAATGTAAGAAGTCTACAAATGTAAAGGGGGTGGATGTAATTATTGTAAAATGAAGGGTTTTTTTGTAAATAGATCTTAACTAAGGAGTATGGTTGTAATTTGTTCAATTTAAAAAGGTGGGATATAAGTACTTTTTAAAAAAAATCTTAAAGCTCTCCAAACAGCTTATTTTTGGAAATTTTAAGTTTTTAAAAAAGAGCTTTCAAGTTATTTTTAACAATTTATAAACTTAACCAAATACAGTAGAACCTCGATAAATTAATACCCGATAAATTAATAACCTCGCTTAAATAATAAATTTTCCGGGTCCCGACTCGGGGACAACGTGTTAAATTAATAATTCGCTAAATTTATAAGATAATACAAATTCGAAAAATTTAAGAAGCCCCATATAATATATAAATTAATAATGCATAAAAATATTTATTAAATTACATGGTATAGTACATACTATATAGATCTATGAAAGGTTAATACAATATAATTTAATTCTTGCTTGTTTCTTGTTGAAGTTCACATTAGCATGAATCTCATCCCTCACTTTTCTTAACATAGCTAGAACTTTCGGTATTGTTTAAGAGCTTCCGTTCGATAAACGGGCTATGTAATGCATTGAACTAATGATACAAATAATAATACACATAAAAAAAATAAAAAAAAATGTATTTATTAAAAATAATAATAAAAGTAATTTCATAAATTAATAATTTATTAATTAATGTATAAATTAATAATTATTAATTTATCGATAAGTTAATATTTTGCTAAATTAATGAAATTTTGATAATTCCAACAGTATTAATTTATAGAGGTTTAACTGTATCCTGTAAATTGTTGTGGGCTTGTTTGAAAGCTGTAACTATGCTATAAAAATATCAACTCTAATAGCTAGACAAAATTCGGTCCTTTTGTAGAGAAGATTAATTGGTAGAGAAAAATAGTGGTTTCTGATGGGAATATTAAACAGTGAAAGCTCTATTGTGTGACAGTGAATTGAATTATTACTTATTAGTACATGGTACTGAATTTTCATGTTTGATCATGTTCATATGTTGTTTGTCTCTGTATCTCTTTTTAAATTTCAATTATTTGTACAAAATCTTTCAAGAATCAAATCAATCTCAACACTTCTTTTTATGCATAATAATAAACCAGAGTGGCTTTTTTATTATAAAAAAAAATAGTAAATAAAAGAGCTCTTGGCAAAATAGTAAATAAAAGAGCTTCAGAAAAGAAAAAAATGTAACTAGAAAATAGGGTTAATTATGATCGCCATCCTTGAAGTAAGTTCAAATTACAAATCCCCCTCATGTTTGGACAATTACAACTACTCCTCTCAACTGTGAATCTTCTTGTACGTTCATCCTTGCAGTGATAAATTTAGTAGAATATTTTAGATTATATGAGATATTCTTCAGTTTGTACTCATTTCACCCCATTCGAACTCCACATTTCGAAACCAAGATGTGTCTCTTCACTTGTAAAAAAATCATATTGTCGTGCATCATAAACTATATTTTTACACAAAAGGAGTACAAACTAGAGAATATTCCACAGAATCTAGAAGATTATGTTAAATTTGGCACCATAAGGGTGGACGTGTAAAAAGATACATAGTTAAGGGATTGATTGTAATTACCCAAACATGGGAGATTTTTCGTAATTTGACATTACCTTAGGGGTGGCCGTAATTTACTCTTATATTTATCAGGATAAAATAAAATTTAACATATACTAATCAAAATATAGATTTTTCACTTAAGAATAAATGAAAAAAGAATAAAAAAGTGTCAAAACAATTATTGAGGCAAAAAAGCATAATCATGAGGAAACAAACGACCGTGGGGTGGCTATAAACTAATCAAAATGTCAAAACGTGACAAAATGGTCGGTCTTATAAACAATCATTTTTAATGATATTCAAAAGCATCATATTTCATTACCGTGATGGTCGTTATCATTTTTTTAATTTTAATTTTTTTTTTTGCCGTTTTATTCATTTAAATTTCTATAACAAAGTGTCCATATTCACCCACACAATACAACGAGTTTGTTTGAATTTTTATCGAACTTCCAAGAATTGTATTTGAGCTTCGTTTAACAAGCAATCGAGTCAAGACACAAACGAACTTTAATCAAACCGAACATCAAAAAAGCTCGAGCAACTTGATTTTTTGTACATATTTTTACCAATTAGTTCAAATTCAACTTCGTAGCTTATCAAACGAAAATATGTGTTCAAGTTTATTTTTCCTAGTTAAGTAATTACAAAAATTTTAAAGGTGAAATGAAATCAATCAGCTGTCGCATGTTGTTGAGGAAAAGGAATCGAAGCACAGCAATGGTAATAGCCATTATCATCGAAAACGAACCTTTGAGAAAGGTGAGCCTCGTTTATAGGATACTCCCCCCATTCCTCCGAACCGTACATATCGAAAATGCCTCTAGCATCAAACGATTCGAACTTTCTTGTTCTATCCTTTCTGAGAATACAAAATAAGCGCACTTAATGATCATTATATTAGTTAAATCACAAAGAAACATATAAATAAACCAAAAAAAAACACGAGTATCACCTTTTTCGATGACGTGCATTCATAAGTGTGGCATGCAACTGCATTGAAATGAGAAGATTGCAAAATATTATTAATACTTGGAAAAATAAAAATAATATAAATAGTTTGTTGCTCCAATGGAACTTATGTGAAAGTTAACCAACGTCACCGAACATAAATTTTAAAATAGTTTTCGTGAAGATAAATAGAAGTACCTTTAACTTCTGCCCTATATCTTTTTCAACTACCAAGCCAGCCTCAACGAATGCATCAGTAATGACTTCTAAGAAAGTTCAAGAAACTCGAAAAATAAATTATCCGATAAATTAACACGCAAAAAAAAAAAAGGCATCTATCGATATAAAATTTTGAAGCTAGAAAATTGGATACCACAGGCACGTAGAAGTCGTCCCTCGTCGCCAATTTCTTCAACGGGGGCATAAATAACACTAGCCTTGGCCAGAGAACCTCTCATTCGGTCCTGTAAGAAATATGAGAACTAAACCTTAGAAGTGTAACGGAACATCATAAAGATAGTTACAAATATACGAGAAATAAAAATTATTAAAAGTTTAAAGGAGAGAAAATCTTACAAGTCCCTTGAGTCTGATCGAAATCGGCCGGTTCTCTAAAGCATCCATAACTTTTGATGAGACATTCTAGAAGGCAGGAATAACGGTACGGTGGATAAGAATCAACAGTTAGTTGTTGTATATGATTTATGTTAAACAAACTTTACCTGCAGAACTTCTGCAGCTGTTTTAACTCGGTCCTTATTCCATAACTTCAGCATGAGAACAGTTAAGTGAAAAGTTTTTGGTTTGATAAATATGGACTTGTCGATCCCCGACTCTGCATGTAAAAAAATATCACCCGATCAACGTGGAGGATGAATTACAGGACGAGATTTTTTTTGGCAGGAATAAATTGCAAGGATTTAATAATTATCTGGGGATGTTAGAATATATATATATATATATATATATATATATATATATATATATATATATATATATATATATACACCTTTCAATTTAGAAGAAATGGTATCTGAGACAGTAGCTTTCGACTCTTTTGGAGAGTATCTCACAAGCGGGATATCAGTTACATTAACTTTCCGTGATGTACCAGCATCTTCAGCTTTGAGTTCAACAGCAACGAGAGGTGCTTTTTCTGAATTCTGGTCACTCGTCGTATTTATTTTATTACGAGCATCGGCTTTTTCCGACTGCTGGTCTTTCACTTCCTTGTCTGAAGTTTCTCCACCTGTATCACTGTCCGGATTCTTTTCTTTATCTGACGCTGTTATTCCAAGTATTGTATTCTGGAAATTGACAAGTTTGTCAACTAGTCCGGGATGAACAGCCAAAGGGAGCGAAACAAAGTGAGAATAGTCGAGCTCTCGACTATTAACTGCCTGTTCGAGACACAATCACAAGTCAATAAAATCCTCAACAGATACGCAATGGAAACGTATATATATCACAGAAATGAATGAGAACTTTAACATTACAACCTTATCAACAACAATCTGAATCTTTTCAGATGCTTTAGTCACACTTTCAGCAGAATTACCTTCGATTACTGCAATAAAATATACACTGGCCATATAAATTTCGGTGGATAAATCGAACAGATGATACAAATTAGCAAACAAGCACATATGCATAGAAGATCTTTACTACAACCACCACCTTAAATCAATCATGATTTAAACTTGCAGCAGATACTAACGATTTACAGAGGAACCGTGCAATAAATTAAACTTTAAGAAAACAGAAAAAACTCGTTATACATAATGATAAATATAATATGTCCAGAAACAATAAACTCACTGATGGAATCCCCTTGTTTAGATGATGGAAATATAAGCTTAACTCCGGTTTCCCTCTCAATCTCCTCCCGAGCGCCTCGCCTGTAATAAAAAAAAACGTATAACAAATATTACAAGTTTCTATCAATACGAGAGGTAAACATAAAGGGTCGTACTCGTACCCTTTCCCTTTGATGAAATGTATTAACGACGATCCAATCTGCAAAACATACATAAGATGCGGTAAATTATCTAATTGGCACAAATGACTTTCAATTGTTTACTCTCAATCACCATAAGTGCATACACTACGATAGATTATTAGATACAAAAGATTAAACAACTGAAACCCTAAAATACGTAATTAAGAACTCACCTCCACCGCCACTGAATGATTATTCGGAGGGGCTAACTTTCCGTCATTCTTGCTAACTTCGATTGCGGGACCAACCGGCTCACGGTTGCTACTTTCACATTCAACTAAATTAGGTTGAGTGGACACATCCCTCCACGTTTGCGTTACATTGTTTCGTTTATTCCGATCAAAATTAATTTTCCGCCCCTTTCCAGCTTCCATTTTCGATTTACATCTCAAACCAGAGGAGAAATTACACTTCTGTTACATAATTAACAAAGTAATATGAGATTAAAAATGAATATGCCTGCAATTGACTTTGATATGCATTTATTCAACAAATTTATTATTCCAATTTCCGAACCTGAAAGTAAACCAAGGGTTTTGATTTTACACAAGTGTTTGCTCTTTCCCGAGAGAGAAGGTTAATTCTGCAAAAGCAAATTGAATTGGAGAAATAATAGCATTAAATACAAATCAATATAAGAGAAGGTCGATTATTGAGAAATACCTGAACAGAGACCTACAAACTATCATTCGCGACTCCCCGCCGGCGGCGATGACGGCGGCAAACATATACGGTGGTCGGTGAATAAACTAGTCCGTTGTTTTATTTTTTCCTTTTCCTTTCATTATTAAATTAAATGGAAGTGAAATGATTAAATTATAACGTGGGCTTAAAATAGGCCCATAAAACCTAAATTTAAAATGAAGAGAAAAACAAATTGGGCTTAAGGATAAGTCCGTAAATCCCAAATATTACGGCCCATTTTGGTTGTAACTTTCTTTCCGGCGGTTGGAATTTGATAGTTTAACCACAGAGGTCGGATTCACTCGTCGAACTCTTTTTTTTTTTTTTTATGGTGAGTTCGTAGGGTTTGGGAAATTTGAAGCTGTTTTTGCAGTCGTTTTACCGTGCATGCGTATTTCGATGACGACGGATTTTCTTGGGAGGGGTAATTTGTTAGTCCGACGGTCGCAATTTAACGGGCTACCTACAATTAGGTTCATCTCGTTGCGATGTATCTTTTTACGGTCATTTCGTTCAATTTCAATTGTCATATTTATTTTTGTGACCTCTGTACATTAAATGCGTTGAATCTTGAGTGGTTGACAACGACTAAAGTTTTGGTGGGAGGCGTTTGGGGTGAGACGCCACAGCTGGACTCATGTCGAGATTTTATCTTTGATTTTACAGTGGATTAATGAGACAATAGGAGCATGTCAAATGAGACCATAGTTTTCTTTCTCATAAATAAAATAAAAACCAAACACACATGCCCAAAAATAGCTAGATTGTCACTTTTCAACTTTTACGACTCAAATATACATTTCAAATACTAAAAGAAATTAAAAAAAAAAAAAGAAAAAAAGAGGCAACAAGTATCACTCACTCTAATTTGATAATTTTAGTATCTGATTTTCAAGTCAACTCAAAATACTCACTACGAGCATTAGTCAACGTAGAATCTCGAATCAGGGTCGTATTATTATTCCTCACGCGCCACATTTTAATCACCCCATCGAGACTCCCGGTGCACACAGTGCACCCCTCTTCGCCACTCTCCTCCACGCGGCTCATGAACACCGCGACGCACCTGATCGGGCCCCTATGCCCCTGCAAAACCGCAACACAAGAATGAAGCCCGTCCAGCTCTCTGACCCAGACCCGACCCGTCGAGTCGGCCGACCCGGTAACCAAGTAATTACCCGCACTCGCCAGGCACATGACCGCGTGGGTGTGGCCGGGGAGGGCGCCGCCGTACTGGAGCTGGCCGGAGAACCAGCCCTTGAGCCAGTAGTGGACGTAGCCGTCGGTGCAGCCGCCGTAGAGGACGGCGCCGTCGTAGGTGAGGGCTAGGGTCTTGACGGGGGAGTGCTTGGCGGGGAGGGTGACGGTGAGGGAGTGGGGGCGGGAGCCGCTGCAGAAGTTGCGCCGCCACACCCTGACGGTGGCGTCGTCGGAGGCGGTGTAGAGGACGCCGTCGTCGGCGAGGGCGATGGCGTTGATGGGCTCCGGGTGGGCTTGGATTGTCTCGATGCACTTGAAGTCGGAGATTCTCCATACTTTGACCGTCTTGTCCACGGCGGCGGAGTAGAGGATGTCGTCGGAGGTGTTTATCGCCAGCGATGTGATTGGTCCTAAATGCTTCATCTGCCAAAATATATTAATTTAATAACCAGTTTTGTTTACACGTGTACCATATGTGATAAACACGTGCAAATCAAATTAAACCATAAAACCATATTAATTGTGATGTCAATATTCTTTACTTCACTCATTCCTTTTCTTTAAATGATAATTAAAATAAAATAAAAACAATTCAAAAATATATTAAGTAGTCTTTATATTATAGGGAAACTAGTAATTATTTGATAAAAAAAAAAAAAAAAAAAACTCTTTTATGATTTTGCATGTTCGTTTTCTCATTTCATTAATATGGGTAAATTACAACCACATCCTTGAGGTATAATATAATTGCTAAAAATCCCTTTTCTTTTGAGAAATTACATCCAGCTCCATGCAATTTGCAAATATTTTACATCCAACCATTCTACAGAAAGTTGTTAATGTAAGAAAATATACAAATTGCTAGGTAGATGTAATTATAGAAAAATGATGGATTTTTTCGTAAATAAACTTATCGTCTCAGAGGTGGTTGTAATTTACCGTTAATGGATGTTATGATCAATGTTAGGGTAAAATTGGAATTATAGCATATAAAGAAACGGTAGGAGGAACGGTAGGTCGTAGGAGCTCCGGTTCTTAATAAGGCAAACGCTTATTAATTACTAGGCATAGAGCCAACTGTTCAAGCAAGCATATATAATTGCAAATAACTATAAATGCTAGTGTGTACCTACAAAAATTTAACGTTCACCAAACATGTATGCGAAAATTACCATTTTATCCTTGCCGGAAATGTAACTCCGGACAAAGCTTCCGGCCATCGGCACAGTGGCAACCCTCACGTGCTTGATGACACCCTCCCACGTGCGGCGCCAAACCCTAATCTTGCAGTCGGCGTACGCGGCGTAGACTCTGTCGTTCGACACCTGCAGCGCCACCACCATGCCCGCCTTGGTCTTGAGCTGCCCGCACTCGGTGAACTCCGGCAGCTTCCACACGCGGACGACGTTGCCCTGCGAGCCGGAGTATATCAGCCCGTTGGCGGCGGCGACGCAGAGGATCTGGCCGTCTTTCTTCAGCACGGAGGAGATGCAGCGGTAGGCGGAGGCGTCGGCCGCGGCGGCGGCGGCGTCGACCTTGGAGGCGAAGGAAATGCGTGGGGTTGGCGGCTGGGAGTGGTGGTGGAGGAGCGAAAGGGAGGCGGCGGTGGTGGCGCTGAGGCGGGGAGGGAGGCAGACGGCGTCGGAGAGCGGCAGCTCTTTGGTGGAGGAGCTTCTCGGAAACCTAATGGTGTTATTATCATCTCTCATGGCGAAAGATGGATTTGGTGGGCCCTCCTCTAGGGATGAAGCCATATCCATTGCTTCAGAGAATAGATACACGATACTGTATTATGTATTTTGTATATCTTTGTGTTTGTTTTGAGTGTGTGTTGAGTGTGAGAAGAAAAAGGAAGAAGAAGAAGATAGTAAATGAAGTAATTAAATAAAGGGCTAATATAGGAAATAAGGTAGTTGAATAATTGCTGTGGGTATGGTAATAATAGGTATTCTATTCTACATACAATTAATGTGGCATTTATATCTATTTTTAATTAGGAAAATAATAATACCGACAGACTGAAGTGATATTTTCATTAGCAATATTTAGTATGTAAAATTATAATCGTGCCGATTTTGGAACAGTATTTTTCTGTACAAATTCCAAAACTGTTTTTCAATTTTTCAATTTCAATTTATGTCGATTTCGATTAAAAAATTTATAATATTGGAACAAGTTTTTCGTTTCGATTTTATAAATTCCGAATTTTCAATTTCTAATTCTTTTATGGAAGGAATTAGTGTTTAATCAGCATTTTGGTAAGTACATGATTAAAAGGACATATATGTAATTAGGTCTCAGATGGTGAACTAGTTAATAAATAAGCATTTAATTTATGGGCGTCGATGTTCCCTTTATGAGATACTACTCCTGAAATCTTTTAAATTATTGCTCCTTTCATAAATTTTAGCCTTCTTTTCGATAGAATAAAGACTAAATTACAACAATCTCCCTGGACGGTAAAGCGATTTACGAAAACCCCCTATTTCCGAGACATTACATCTAACTCCTTGCAGTTTGTACATTTCTTACTTCCATCCCTACAAAAGAGTTTTTATGTAAGAAATCTACAAATTGTAGAGGTGCATGTAATTATGAAAAATGAAGGGTTTTTTCATAAATAAACCTTGTGTCATAGAGCAATTGTAATTTACAAGAAGTTGAGGACCAATGAATTATATCAATTAAACTCGGTCAATTATGTCAATAGTAATGTTGCATTATGAATTACCAACATGGGAATGTGGTTGGTGATAATGCTATACCAAAAAGGCCAATTTCTATTTTAGTTTGTCACAATTCTACAGATTATGGCCTAGTTTGCTTAATGCTACTAAACTCTATTAACTAAATAGTAGGGGTTAGTAAGATGTTTGGTTGACGAGATTCGTATTTATTCTAGCTCGCTATTATACTTAAAGTCCACAACTAAATGCTATTATTTGGTTAAATTAGTAGCACCCTTCCTCCTACGATTAATTTAGTAGACGGTGATTAAAAGAGAAAAATACAATTTTATCCTTACAACAATATCTTATAAAATACTTTTTAGACAATTCACAATTAAAACCAGAATTTAACAAATTTAATACAAGATTTAATCTATCTAACCAAACATCTTACTAACTAAATAATTAATTAGTCAGTGGGATATTAATCAAATCTCACATAATCCAATGTAATCCGACATAGATAAGCAAACGAGGCATATATCTACAGTCAAACATCTATAAATTAATACAGTCGTGACTAACAAAATTCTACTCCCTCTGTTCCACAATAACTGTCTCTTTTTTTAAAATTAATACGTCTGGTCTTTTTTTCTCTCAAAGAAAGTACATCCTCGATTTAGTACGCAAAACGAATATGTTGACGTGTAATCCAATAACCAACCCCATGGCTGCATCCACCAAATTGTCCGCCTTTGATTCATGTTCTTTCGAGGATCCTACTTTATATCGGAGTGTTGTTGGCAGCTTACAATATCTCTTATTCACTCGACCCGATCTAGCCTTTTCGGTCAACAAAGTTTGTCAATACATGCATGCTCTGTGCATTTCTCATTGGACAGCCGTCAAAAGGATTCTTCGTTACTTGAAACATACTCTGGATCATGGATTACTTCTTCGATCATCACAAACTAATACATTAACGGCCTTCACCGATGCCGATTGAGTTGGTTGTCTTGATGATCGTAAATCTACAGGAGGGTTTTGCATCTTCTTTGGTGGAAATCTTATAACTTGGAGTTCAAAGAACAGGCCACCATTGCTCGTTCGAGCACCGAAGCCGAATATAAAGCCCTTGCCTTTGCAACTTGTGAGTTACTCTGGCTACAATATAATCACTCTTGACAGAATTGGGCATTAGCTCTTCATCTCCTCCAACGTTATTCTGTGATAATCTCGGTGCAACTTACCTGTCCAAGAATCCAGTTTTTCATTCTCGCACTAAACATGTCGAAATGGATTTTCACTTTGTTCGTGAACGGGTTCAAGCCAAGGTATTGCACGTCTCATTTCTTTCTAGCAAAGATCAGCTTGCGGACATACTTACAAAACCGTTATCAACTCCGAGGTTCACTCTTCTTCGGACGAGCCTCGCTAGCTGTTGTCTTTTCCCCGCTTGGCTCGAGGGGGCATGTTAACCATACACCTCACACAGGAGATAATTCCTCCTACACACTTGGAGAGCACGAAACAAATCATCCGAAGAATAATCTAGAATAAGACAGGTGTTCCTTCCTAAATGGTTGAGCTGTAATTTTGAAAAACAATTTAATTTCTTTTCCTCGATATTGTACAGTCAACCTTGAAATCAAGTAAACAATTGTGAATCAATTCCTCTTTACTTTCTATGTTTTACTTTCTCTCTCATATCTCAATACTCGTCGATGAGCAACGCGTCCAGCCCTTTTTGGGTGGCCGCCGCCGCCACAAACACCGCAACGAGGTTGTCGCTTAATAAATCAGCGGTTGAACAGTTACTAATACAAAAATCCTTGTACAAAAAAGCGGTTGAAGCGACGACACTCCAAAAATCTTTGTATTTAAAAGCGGTTGAAGCGGCGGTGGCAGGCCACAAATCTTTGCCGACGAAGAGTGGCGCAAGCGCGCACTTCGGGTGCGGTGGGTCGTTCCACCGGTGTTAAACACGCCGGAGGAAAATATGATGGTATTACAATGCACGGGGAATATTCCGGTTACGATATTAATCGTGGGAAATACGACGATATTACGGTTGTTGTTGCTCACATTGTACAAGAATCTCCATGTTAGCAAGAATGAAGCTGGCTAATAATAGGAAGGTGTAACAAATTGACTATATCTGAAATTTTCTTTTCTTTAAATATTCTTTGCATTATTTAATGATGCATACTGTCTATCTCTAACATAGGTAAATTGAAAATACTATATTTGCTTGTTCAATAATACTTTTTTGAGTGCTATCAAAAAAAACTTCTGGACTCTTGCCCTGATTCTCCAATATATAAATATGAACATATGCTTACATAATTTATTTACATTTACACGTATACATGAGGTAGTGTATAAATTAGAGATCGAAAAACTATATTCGTTGATATATTTCATTAGGTGTAATGGGTATTTACAAGAACGAATTTTTGTGATCTCAAATTATGTTCGAATTATGTCACATGTAGTTAACAAATACCAATTTAGCTCAATGAATACTACTAATTCTGTTGCTAATGTTTTATAAGTCGAGTTTGTCGCGCGTTATTTATGTGATTTACGAGCTACTGCACAAAATCTAGAATTTATCTAATGCACTTTGAGTGAGTGTGAGTTCTTTTATCAATTAAAAAAAAAGCGATATCAAGCTTGAATACACTTAATAATGTGAGCAAAGTTCGATTTCTCTAGATCTACCACCGAATTTATTTCATTTTGTATTATAACGAAATGCTAAAAAAATTCTTGTATTATTTTATTGACAGAAACCCCTTTACTATGCATTTGTCTATCACACAACCTTCTAAATAGTAAATAGTTAATTTTAGGGCTAGTTTGCAACAAAAATTGGATTATTGAGGTACTTTGATAATAAAATAACGTGGAGCGCCTTTTAATGCAATAAACTCATCTATTATAAGTTTATAACTAAAGTGAAGTGGATCGTAATAACTCAATTTAAGGGGGTTTAAAATGAAATTTCCCATAAATTAATCATCTTCTTGGAAATCCTAGTGTTAGAGCCCAGTGACCAGTCCCAGCTGAAGCGGCACTCTGCACACACACTCAACACACACACAGCGTGAAAATGCCGACGGCAAACAAGATGCTCGAAAGAGCTCTCTCTATACGGCGGCCGCCGCACGCTACCGAGGTCGCCGGAACCGCCGAAGGCGACGGCGGCGATGGAACGGGCGACGAGTCGAAGATCCGTAAGCACGTATCTGTTGCTATGCGGGTCACTAATTACTTGACCCGAACAGGGTATATATGGCCGATTCTCGTCATTGGGCTAATTATCGTTATAATCTCGTCTGTAATTATCAGCTCACGAGATTTAGTCTGCATCTCGGCCTCCTCCTCCGATCACATCTCACGGCTGAGGTTTTTCGGGTTCGACGGCCTGGAATCGGACTTCGGATCCCTTGGCGTTCCCTGGTGTAAGTTTTTTTCAATAATCATTTTCGGCTTCACTGTATTTTATTTCCTCGATTTTTCTAGGGTATTTAGGGTTTAGAAACATGATTTTTCATTGCCGGTTTCAGATTATAATAATTGAGGTTTTTTTTGTAAAATAATCCATGATTTCAATTTTTGTTTGTATGTGTACTGTTAATTTGGGCAAATTTCCATCATTAATTGAGGGCTTCGATTATACGAAAACGGGGCGAAAATGAAATGCTCTGGATAATTAAAATAACATGAAATTAGCTACACATTGTGTCACTATAGTTTGGGAAGTGGTAGTGCAGTTGATAATTATGCGTTATAACTGTCATTTACCTATAGTCCTTTTGGTTTGGCAATCTGCGGAAATAAGCAAAATTAACGATGAGGTCTCAACTGATTTATTGTTTTTGCTCGATCGAGAGTTGTCTGCAACTTCCATTTCGAAATTTTAAATGCTCGAATTATTCAGCATTTCTACCTCCGACCATTGCAATTGTCATAACATCGTATTTGGCGTGTTCATAGCTAATATTGTGATCTGTTTGGTATATATTTGTATACATATATATATATATATATATATATATTATTTTTTAAATACTCATATAATAGTTATCCTTGTCAAAAGGCAGATCGAAACATGGAAAAGACGTCGAATGGACGTCCAAGGATTTACTCAAAGGTCTTGAGGAGTTTGTGCCAATATACGAGACAAGACCGATTAAGAACAACATGTATGGGATGGGTTTCGATCACAGTTTTGGACTTTGGTTCATTGCGCGATGGTTGCAGCCAGACTTGATGATTGAGAGTGGTGCGTTTAAAGGGCATTCCACGTGGGTTTTGAGGCAAGCAATGCCGGACACACCTATTGTGTCACTTTCGCCACGTCATCCTGAGAAGTACCTCAAGAAAGGGCCTGCTTATGTTGATGGCAATTGCACGTACTTCGCTGGAAAAGACTTTATGGATTTTGGAAGCATGGATTGGGGAAAGGTGATGAGGAAACACGGGATCAAGGATCGTAGTCGGGTTCTTGTCTTCTTTGATGACCACCAAAATGAACTAAAGAGGTATATATATATACACACATACATATATGGATTTTGTAATGCATAATTCTAATTATTTAGATTAACGATTGTCAGCAATAATCTCAAGAATCAGTAGTTGAGAACCCATTGATCTTATATCTACTGCATAGAAATTCTAATAGTTTTTTATTTCTCTTTCAATTTGATCTGTTGACGTGTAGATTAAAGGAAGCTCTGAAAGCTGGTTTCAAGCATCTAGTTTTTGAGGATAACTATGATACTGGAACTGGGGACCATTATTCGTTCAGACAAATATGCGATCAATTTTATATAAGAGGTGCGTTCCTTTTTTATTCCACACCCTGTGAATCTTGGCCAATCAGCACTCCTTGTTTGTAGTCAGATAGCTATTTAAACCATCGGTTTACAAAGAAAGGAAGACCCTTGCGTTCTGCCCGGATTCTGATAATCAGGACATAGTCATTGAAACTGAACCAATCAAAACTTAAAAAGGAAACGGGGGAGAGTAATTAACTATTATATGTTCTATGCAGGTGGTGGACATAGCTGCTACAAAGAAAGCGACGAAGCTAGGATAAGGCACAGAAGGAAGAAGTTTTGGGAGAAAGCAGTCGACACAGACGAGCTATGTGGGCCCGGAGAAGCATGGTGGGGCGTGAGAGGGCACATGCGTGACAATTTCAACCACAGCAATAAGGTGATTACATACGGTCAACATTTTCAGAACAGCAGATTTGTGGAGTCGGTTCTTGATGTTTACTGGGAGCTGCCACCTGTTGCTGGCCCTTCGCTGACTCATCAGACGAGGTACGATCCTGCGCGTACATCTATTCCTATTGTCGAAGATGGTAGATACGGTTTGTTTCGAAGGCTTGGATTGTCTCAGCTTGACCTCTCTGTATTTAATGGATACACTCAAATGGTGTATCTTCAGGTATCTAAGAATGATACGTAAGTCTTGTTTGAACATGGTAGGGTTTTTTTTTCGTTTCTTGTGATTTTGAATTTGTGAATATTCTGTTTATCTTTGCCTAATCACTCGGATTCTAGTTTTCGTTTTATGAGCACTTAAAAAATATCCGTTCGAGCTTCTTCTATTTGTTTATGCAAGTTGATAGCTTTTTAATCGTTGCCATGAAAACTTGGTTTGGGTGAAAATTAGGGCGAGATTTTTTATTTCGGCAACTTGAAAATTTTTATAAGTCCTATTTTCATTATATCTGAAAATTTTCGAATCAGCTTGAAAATAATCAAGATTTTGCAGCAGAGGTGTTATTGAACATTTTGTCATTTTTCGATTCAATCAGTTCGATTTCCACTCATAAATCTTAACAGACAAGGTGAAGATTATCAGCATATTCACCACTAGTTTTGGCAACCACAAATCGGACAATAAACAAAGTACGAACACACAAAAATTACCAGGACTCAATTTACAGAAGTTTTTTGAGTTGGCAGATACATAACTGAGGTCAAAGCATTTAAATGTTTTCCGATTTATATTGTCTGCTTCGGTAAACCAAACATTTCCATCCATAGCAATCTACTAAAAACAAAAAAAGATACAGCCCTTATCGAGATTTCAAAAAAAAACCAGCACTAGTTTTGGTTCTTGAACTTCTGCATAGTCCTTGGAGCTGCAACCAAAGAATTAATACATGAATTTCAAGTTAGTAGTAGTCGAAATAAATCTCTTGTATTTTGATTCTTGAATCCGATCAGACAACCGTTGGAAGCATTAAGAACGTTGTAAGCACGTTTTTCGGACATACCTAAACCAATTGCATCTGAGCCTTTCATGATCCTCAATCTCTTGCATGAATCTATGAACATCCTGAAATAAAAAAAATAAAAAAATAAAAATCATTACTTTTTAAGGCTTAATAGTGAAGAACAATCTTTACACCACGGAAACGTACCCCCACGGTACATCCCCAACGAGCATCCAGTCACCATCTTTATCTTCATACGTAAGCACATACTCAGAGCCATGGATTAAATCCATTAAGCCACTCTCACTAAGACCTTCTTTTCCGGCAAGACCCTGTCCGTATTGCCCTGTACACACACGAAAAAGTCAACTAGTTAGTGTGCGTACGCGCGGGCGCGCGCGCGCGTGCGTGTGTGTGTGTGTGTGTGTGTGTGTTTTGAATTTACCGATAGTGAAACAGCTAAACATCTTGGCAAGAGCGGAAGAAATTTCGGGATAGGTGGAGCAAGTTTTCAGATCAATCTTCCTCAAGTACGGAGCACCGTCCATGCTCACTTTTACGTAAAGACAATTCGGTCCCTGCTTTGCGGCTTCGTTGTTCTTCGGTAAGTTTGTGGCGAGGGTGTTTTTTCGGAAAGATCGAACTGGTGGCCATCCCACTACTTGTGCCCTGTTAAAACAACACATCATATAATTAATTACTAACTGATTAAAGAACATCATATCACACTAATTACGTAGTACTAAACAGATATCCGAATTAATCGAACACCGAAAACTTTTATCTTTGAAATGTTAAGACAACCTAACTAAATAGCATCACCTCAAAATTCAAGAAAACCAAAAAAAAAAAAAGAATGAATTATGTAACTAATACATCCTCAGTTCTAACTTCTCAATTCACAATTATATTTTTTTTAAATAGAATAAATAAATAAATAAATAAAAATAAAAATAAAAGACTCACTTAGAAGCAGGGGCAGTATTTCCAGGCTGATTCTTCTTCTTCTCATCAAGAATATTGACAGTGGGAATTTCCACCTTACAATCAACAACCTCAGATCCGCCATTGATACACAAACCCCAATTACCAGAACAGTTTATTACATCATTAAAACCCCTTTTCGAACCAGAAACAAAGTTCTGAGAAAACCCATTATTACCCTCCTCCTTCCCGAAAAGGGAAACCCCAAATCCAGCCTTCCTTTCCGGGGACTCCGAGCCTGGCAACCCGAGCCTGAGTTCGGTTCGTTTAAGGTTCAAAACCTCGTTTTTCTCGAAACCAGAGGAAATAGTGGCCGACGAAGAAGGTGACAGGATCTTATCAGAAGCTTTCTCCACAGGTAAACCTATGTAATCATGTTCTTGAGGAACAGACATCGCAAAATTTCTCAGCTTAAAAATCCAATCTTTAGAAAGAAAGAAAAAACACTATTGAATGAACAAGAGAGAGAAAGTGTTTAGATAGAGAAAGTGTTGAGAAATAGTGAGGAGATGAAGGGCTTTGTTCTTCTTCTCTTTTGTGCTTTTGGGTCCTCAAAAAGAGCTCTGGTTTTTTATGTTGAGAGGCAGAAAAGAAGCTTCTTTGGCCTTTCTTTCTCTGTGTGTGTGTGTGTGTGTCTTTTTTTTTTTTTTTTTTTTTTAATTTAGAAATTAAATATAAACTGGACTAGTACAGAACAATTATTCCAATTGTGCTTTTTTTTTTTCTTTTTTCTTTAGTCAAATAAAACCATAATGTAATAGTTGAGTTTTTACGAGGCAGGGGAACAGTAATAATAAATATCTTGTCATTTTGTGTAGCACCAATAATTTGGAGAAATTTAATTAGAGTTATATGAACATGGGGAATTATTTACTTTCTTTTTGAGTCGTTTTCACCCAATTGTTTTTAATTCATGTTTCGCTATCTACCAAAACCATAAATAAATAATTAAAATCGGATGAGAAATTTAAATCTAGTATAAATTATTAAATTCCAATCCAAAAAGTTTATAGTTTCAACCCTACTTTGTAAAATGGGAATTGACTATTTAAAGTCGAATGAAAATTACATTCTTTAAATGTGAAGAAAAAGGTGATTTTAGAAAGTAAAATTTTAATTTCAAAACTAGTATAATTTTAGACCATAAAAAATCTAGAGCAAATTACGGCGCACCCTTGAGGTAAAATTAAATTACGAAAAAAAAAATTCTCATTTAGTTAATTACAACCATACCTCAACTATTTATTATTTTACAAAAAAATCCCTCATTTAATAGTTAAATTAAAAAACGTAAGGATGTACGTGTAAAGTAATACATAATTGAGGAGACTAATTATAATTACACAAATAAGAGGATTTTTTTTCTTCATAATTTGATATTAGCTCACGCATGACCCTAATTTAATTTGCTCTAAAATCAAAGAATTTGAAACATGTACAAAACCAATATATAATTTGCAAATTACGACCAACGCATTAGGGTATGGCCAAATTATGAAGAAAAAAAAAAACCTTTTGTTTCGGTAGTTACCGCCACCCCTACCTTCTAAATATTTTTACATAAAATATATGTAATTCGGTTATTTACCGAACCAAATCGTATATTCAGTTCTGTAAACTGTATGAAATATTGGCGTACCGAAATTTACGTTTGATTTTACCGACTTAACAACCCTAAATTAACCTCTGGAATGATTGTTTCGTAAGATAATACATAATTAAAGGTTGGCTGTAATTACCCAAACATGAGAAGTATAATTGATGTATACAAAGGTGGGACCCATCGAAGACAAATGATAATGTCTTTTGCCTCCTTTAAAAATCCGGCAAAAATATTAAACTCACCCGACAACTCACTCAGAAAAGCCCCCACCCCCCACCACCACCCCTCCTCTCTTTTATCATCACTCCTCCAAATATATATTAATTAAAAAGCAAGTGGGGTCTAACTTGCGCAGCGACAGCACAGGCGCAGCTTAGTGAAAGGTAAGTCAAAAAATGCCAAACCGCACGGCTTCGAACGATAGAGAAAGCAGAGAGTAAAAGCAACCGGGGATCAAATCAGCCGCAGTGGGGATAGCGATTATTCGAACCCAATTAATTTATTTATTAAAAACAAAATAATTTTAAAAGATAAAAATAAAATGAAAAATTGAAATATATAAAATTTAATATCTGTTCAGAATCATCTGGCAATTTTTTTGTTGAAAGTTAGCTGTTCGAAGATTTCATGAGATTCGAGCAAAGAGCAAAGACAAATATTCTTCATGATTTTTACCGCACTAATTCATCTGTCCTAATCAAGATCAAACAATTGTTGGGAAAATTGGTTAAAAAATTAAGTCATGAACAATTTTTTATCAAGGTTATTGTACGGTCTAATTGAGTATATAAATGAATTTTGGATTAGAACCAATTTTGTAGTGAATGAAAAAATTACTAGTCCAAAATATAAGGAAAGTGGGATTTGAGTTATCCCACATTGGAAAAGTAGAGAAGTACTGAGCTGTATATATATCAAAATATTGGGATGGGCCAAAAACATTAGGTCATGGGCTTTTAATCCATTGGGCCCTTATTACTCGAAGCCCATCTCGATTGGTCTGACTGGTCTGAATTGGTGCGGCCGAACCAATGCAAACCATTCGGCTCAACTCGAAATGGTGCAACCACTCCCAATTGGCTCAACTCGAAATGGTGCAACCATTCAAATAAAAGGTACATTTTTGCTCCAAAGGACACTACTTTTCGAACCTTATAAATAGACCATAACTTTCCCAAAATTCCTCACTTCAATCCAAAACAAGCCTACTACATATTAAGCCTACCCTTCACAGATTCTCTCGAAAAGTTCTACACAAAGTACAGTTCGTCGTACTTGGGATTTGGAGTGCTCCTATTCCAAGTTTAGCCGTTGTATCTTGGGAGACGATTTCCATTTAATCCGTTAGCACCGTTGCGGGGAAATTTCGTCTTAAGGACAGAGTCAACTCGCCTCGGCTAATCTTTTCGTATTTTCACTAATTAATTTGTTCAACCAATTTACTAAATTCACTACCCGTTTTATGTATCGGGACCAACAACAATTTCTTCCACAAATCTTTAAATATTTGATTCCCATTTTTAGATTATTAAATTATATATAAAAAACATGGGTTGTATTAATGGTTGTAACGTTGTTATTACAGTTAATTCTCGATAAATTAATATATATGAATCGAGATCATTAATTTATTGATAGTCTACTATATATGAATCTGACTATATTGATGATTTAAGTTGAACAAATGGGTTGGCCTAAGGACAATGTCGAAAAAATAATTCGTGGTGGGCTGCCAATATTTTATTATTGCATTGGGAGGGGTGCTAATCACAAAATTGTAGCTTATTTTTTTTTCTTTAAAAAAAAAATTTGAATACAAAAAGAAGCAACCAAAAAGACTCACTAATATTAAAAAATGTATATATATTAATAAAAAGATTTAAAGAGCAATGTAAAATTTTGTTATTGAATAACAGGAGAAATAAAAGAAAGAAGGGCGTGTTTGGGGAGAGAAGTCACATGCATGGGTATAGGAGATGAAGATAGAAAGAGACAGTTGGAAACGAAACCCTAAAAACAAGACTGACTGCAAAAAAGTTGCTGACACAAACGTTAGAACGAACAATCAACACCACCCCCAAACACTCCCTACGACGGCACTTCAACTATCATAACCACCTTTTGTCCCCACCTCACCTATATCTTATTTTACATTATTATTATTTTTACTATTTATTATTATTATTATTATTATTATTATTATTATTATTATTATTATTATTATTATTATTATTATTATTATTATTATTTTGGGTAAATTACACCCACTTCCATAAGGTAAAATTTATTTATGAAAAATCCTTCATTTTTCCATAATTACATTCAGCTCTCTGCAATTTGTAGATTTCTTACATTACCAACCTTTTGTAGGGGACTGAATATTAGAAATTTACAAACTAGGGGGGTTGGATGTAATTTCTCAAAAATAGAGATTTTTTTTTGTAATTACACATTACCTAAAGGACGTGGTTGTAATTTACCCTTCTTAAAACCCTTGTTGTGTGAGTTACAAATTTGTAGCTACTATCAATTTACAAAACTTAATTATGGGAATTTTTTTTTAAAAAACTGACATTTTTTAGGTGTAGAATATTATAACTTGTACAAAATTACTTGCATACTTCATGGTAGCAACTAGCAAGCTATTTAAACACATTCCATTTTTATTTATTTAATACTTACTGGACTTAGATAATAAAAAATAAAAAAATAAAAAAAAAAATAATGATAGATCAGACAAAGCAATTTAGGGAGACAGTTTGTACTTTTTCTGTCTCTTACCTCATTTGACAGGTAATTAATACTTTTCTCACAGATTGTTTTTTCTTTTTTTTACCATGCCTGTATCTACTGTCATTATTCGGTAAATCCCAAAAGCAAAACAAGCGTGCGGGACTCGATCCAACGGCACCAAATTAACAAGACTTGATGTAAGGATACGATTATTACACGTCATCATTAGTGGTGGTTAGGAAACAAAACGGCGTCGAGTGGTTCGTGCGTTGACTTCAGTCAACGGCGGTAATGAGTAGAAAGAACAAAGCTTTTGTATTTAGACCAAGACCCTTAATCAAGCTTTTCAGTAACGTCTTAAATCTTTTATTTGAAGTTACTATTAATAATTTATTAATTATTAATATTTAATAATTAATAATAGAATAATTTAGTAATAAAAATCCAACAAATTTGTGGAGTCGGTTGTGAAATAATATGGGGGATGACTGAGTCGTTCAATAATAGCATGCAGCTCTAACTCGGTCCAACTTTATACAATTGTGAATAAAATTGTATGCTACACTTGACTTAGGTCCCAATTATGGTTGGTCAACTCTACGGGGATTGACCTTATTTTATTATCCATTTCATCTTATTTCATTATATTTAAGGGTAATTACAAACATCCCCTGAGGTATGGTCAAATTACAAAAAAACCACTCTTGTTTGGATAATTACATCTACCCCCCTCAACTATGATTTTTTCTTACACCTCCACCCTTATGGTGCCAAATTCAACATAATCATCTAGATTCCGTGAAATGTGCTCTAGTTTGTACTCGTTTTGTGTAAAAATACAGTTTCCGATGCACCACAAACTGATATATACAAGCTAAAAATCACATATTATGATCATCTTGCTTCATAATGTAGAGTTTGAATGGGATAAAACGGGTACCAAAGTGATAATATTCCATATAATCTCGAAGATTCCACTAAATTTGAGGAGTTGAGGGGGTGCTTGTAATTATCCAAACAAGAGGGGTGTTTTTGTAATTTGACCATACCTCAGAGGGTGTTTGTAATTTACCCTATTTTCAATCACTTGGATAGAAATTTTCAAGATTCTAATCATGGAATAATGGCAAGATCATCCATCTAATCTGATGATAGGAATATTTAGAAGTAGCACTATATAGATAAGTTTTAAGCCAATTGGATTGGCTTGAAGTAACAATATATTTATATATGGAATATGGAATTAACACTTTTTTTCCTACACTCAATAGTCAAATCAAACTTGCTTTTAATTTCTAGGCCTAGTGCATCTGCAACTTGAATTAATATATTTCTATTTTTTTTTTTTTTTTTTTTTTTTTTTTTGTGGACACAAGTGTTGGAAACGGAAAGTGATTGGCAATGAAATATTGAAATGATTGCAATGAAATTTATTTTGCTATTTTAATTTCCAACAGTGTCTTAGAAGTTGACATCTATCTGTTCATTGCAACATAAGATTATTATCATTGTTACTCAATAACAAAAGACATTGTTATCACTTGTCGATATGTCCGAGTGGTTAAGGAGACAGACTCGAAATCTGTTGGGCTTTGCCTGCGCAGGTTCGAATCCTGCTGTCGACGAATTTTTATTTTATTTTATTATAATTTTATTTTTGTCCTTTAGAAATAACCAGAGAAAAAGTTAATTGGGCCTTACATATCAAAATCATGAGTAAAACGTATTGGCCCATTAAATAATTTCTTGGCTCTAATTGGGTTGATAAAAGTAGGTCTAATTTTCGTCAACAGATCTTATTATGTACACTATATTCCTCTCTAATTTGATTCTTCTTATTTTTCATGATTAGTGTGTAAAGTTTTATTCAACTTTAGTTCATGTAATAATCAGGCTAACTCAAAAGAATCTTTCAAAAATAAAAAAAAAATCATTTCCATCTTCAAAAAATTATGTATGTGTATATCATTTGTGTAAATTTAGTGTAATATATGTCATTTCACCTTGTGAATATCATCTAAAAGGTTAATAAGGGTGAGCACCGGGATGGGCTGAACTGATGCTAAAAGAAGATTTAGAGATAAGGAGATCGCGGAATAGTTCGCGCATATAGAAACTCATTAACACATAACATATTGCATAAGAAGGTAAATAAGATATGGTATAGCCGTATAGGTGACGAGCTCGAAGATAGTCGTTGGAGGGTAAGATCTTAGCATAATTTTCATAAATAGATAAGGAAAATATGTAAATTAGGTTCGATAATTGATCAATCAAAGTAAATCTCGGGATCATGAAGAAATCTTAAATTAGAAAATAGCCACGTATAATTTTCTATATAAACAAATATGGAAAACCCTATGAAGATTACGATAAAACATCCCTCTCTCTCTTTCTCTAATGTTTTTTGGTCGCTTGTTCATCACTGTTACGTTGGCCCTAAATTCAAAGAGAGGTATTGAGGAGCTCTCTGGCGATCGAATGAGTTGAATTCAAAGAGAGGTATTGAGGATGCAGATCCCGCTCGATCGTTCAAAATGATTTCGCCGACCCTAATTAAACTATATCACTAATTATATTACTAACTTTAATTTAAAATAAGCAAAAGTTAGGGATCCAATGAAACATCCACACGCTCCAAATTTGATTTGGGATTAGATTAATCATTTTTCATAACTAAAGTGTGTGTCTAATCCGGCTTAAAAGTTAGCTAGTTGTTAAACTTTAAATAAGCTAATCTAGAACAATAATTATGAACCAATGCTAATACAGCCAATTAGCAATCACTAAGCATTGAAGAATGAGGTTTAATTTATTATTGCAGCAAATTCTTATTACATTTAAAAAATTGAATTTATATCCTTGTACACACAAATACTTACGTATATAAAAGAACACAGTAGATTGCCAACAACTTTTTTTATTTTTCTTTATTTAATCAAAGGTCAACAAGAAAATGACTTCCATCAACATTGAAAATTATATTGCTCTAAACCTAATCTCAATCCACCAAACAAATTATGATTTGTTTTCTCTAACTTTATAATTAAATTAATTAATTAATAATTAAGAGAATTCCCTGCTGCGCTCTCGCTCCAGCTCGTACGCTCATATCTATCGATACAATTATTTATGCCATAAAATAAAATAAATTATTTTACACTATGATTACAACAATTATAAGAATAATATAGAAATGTAATTATGAAGATTTAATTATATTGTACTTCTTCTTGTGTGGTCATTTTTCAAATAAAACAAGTCTATTTACAGGCAATGAAAGGATTAATAATTTAATACAAAAATACTTTGTATAATTAGTTTATTACCATTAATTATTTCATTTAATTGTGATTGCCCACCACCACATCATTAGTGGATTTTAGGACATCCATTTTCAACAATTTAGCATTTTTATAATGATAAAAAGATTATTACTTGATCATTATTTTCATTGCCTATAAATAGACTTGTTTCATGCAATCTAATTTAGCTAGCTAGCTTGTAGTTTCATTTTTTAGGGTTCTCATAATTGTAACCTAAAAGTAGAATGTATATTTTTTTTGTAATGAACAAACCCGAATCGAACTATACAGGTGCAGTGGGTAAATTCCTACACTCTCGTATAACAATTTGCAAACCATACGAGAAACGTAAACAACATTAGGCTAGTTAATCATGTGTGACAAACTCCATCTATCGACCGTTGACGAGACGATTCGAACCAATAGAATAAAATTATAGCTATAGCCTTGAATTATATATCTAATTAAGATTTAAGAATGAAATACAATAACCAATTACAAACTTTTATAGTAAATTAGAGTTACATAAATATCTAGGGAATTTCTTAATATTCTCTATAATAGAATCCACTATTCCTTTTATACTACGTATTAGCCATATTCCTTTTATATATTCTTTTCTAAAGAAAAAAATTCATTTTTTTTCTTGGGAATATCCTCAAGTTATTATCAAAGTAAAACGTTGCGTCAAAAGAATAAATTCTTTTCATAAAACAATATAATTATCAATTATGCAATTATAGAAATGTTTTTGCAATTTTGACTTTGTTAAATCTATGGAAATGCTTTCTAAATTAGCCAACCTTATGTCATCATTATGAAGAAAGAAATTAACAAATTACCCTCAATTAAACAATATTAACCTAATTAACCCCTACCAAATAATGATAACCTATAGCTCTCTATCCGTTTATAGTTATCCTATACTACACCGGGTAGATCTTTATTATTCATAATCTACGCACAAACACACACACACACACCCACATTGGTGTGTGTAGATCAACGGTGAAAATCCACAAATCGTAACTTTCACCGGGTGTAGCTAGCATTGAAATAACAACTCTCTATTAGTTACTCTATCATTTTGAGTTGTAGCAACACACTACGAAATCTAATCAATAAATATGCGTAGATTATGAAAAAAAAAAGTGACTGAAATATCATTTCTCGTTAATTGTTTCTTCAATATAATTCTCCCAATTAGTTAAGAGAAATAAGATCAAAACAGAGAAAAATGAGTTAATGCATTATTGAAACCCTAAAATGACGAATAATTCGATTTTTATTTTTTTTCGAAAAAAGAAAAATATTTTGGTAGGGAGAAAAATACTAGTTATAATTAGTTATGAGCATCACACCCCCAATTTAAGGAAGTTTATAAGCTCCACAAGCATTTTGTTTTTTGGCCTGAAAACACTAACCATCAGCTTTTTGTGTCCCACTTTTATAATAAAGCTAAAAGCAAGAATATAAAGAATCATTTTATATAAATATAATACATTCTATATAGTTTCTGATTAATTAGTTAAAAGGAAAAATAATTTAAAAAAGCAAGAAAGAAAGATAGGAGGGAGAGGCAATATATACATACATATAATACATACACACAAAAAGATTAACCTAATTACAATAGTACCCCACAAGTATAAAATACTCTTGTCTTGTGGGGTTTTCTTTTTACCATTTCTGAGGCTGTAATTACAAATTTGAAAGCTCGTTTTGTTGCTCAAACAAGGAAATTATTAAGTGTTTAATTTAGGAGAGATAAAAGTCTAGAGAGAGAGAGAGAGAGAGAGAATATATTTGAGGGGGGTGAAATTAATTGTTGAATTTGCAACAAATGATGGCTGGAAACCCTAACTGGTGGAGCATGGTGACGAATAATGGCATGCACCCACAATCTCAACAGCTTTCTAACTCTCACTCGTTTATCTACGGCGGCTCTAACTCCCCGCCGCCGCCGCTTTCTCCGCACCCCCCTTCTCCGGCGCCACATCACCATCATCCCGACCACGACTTTCCAGTTAGGTCTTGGAGCCAAATGCTTTTGTAACTCTCTCTCTCTCTCTCTCTCTCTCTCTCTCTCTCTCTCTCACAGTTCAATTCAAATCTGGTAGTTTACACACTACCTAGTACTATATGTTTTAGCTTACAGTTACATTCTTGAATCTAAGAAGGCCATAATTATTTTCATTTGTTTGTATTGTTTGTATTAATTAATTTCATTTTAATTAATTAATAAATAATAAAAATAATTTGTTAATTATTAAATATGTAGGGGTGGACTGGGTGGTGAGGAAGAAGAAAGATTTGGTGCAAGTCTTTTTCAACAACAAAAGAAGTTGGAGAATTGGGAAGAACAATTAGTCTTTAATAATTTCACTAATAATATTAATACTAGGGTTATTAATAATAATAATCCTATTGTTGATGTGAAACAAGAAGTTGTTGCTCAAGCCACCTATGGCCGCCACGTGTTATTACAAGATGATGATAATCATCAATTTCAAGCCAATAATAATTACTCCAATTCTACTAATTGGCCTATTAATATTAATATTAGTAATAATAATAATAATTCTCACCACCAAGTGATGCCGGTTTCTTCCCCAACTTCTTGTATCACTACTTTGAGCAACAATATCTTGAATTTCTCCGGCGGCAAGCAGGCGGCGGCGGCGACGCAGCAGCGTAAAAATCAACAGCACAATCAAGATCACTCATCAGAGGTAATTAACTACGTAGCAAAATATTATTTTTTTATTTTATTTGATTTTATATTTTTTTGTGAAAGAAATTAAAAAGTATATATCATTTCTTAATTAGGGTAATAATTGATGTTAATAAAGGGTTTCTTGTTTAATATATAATTATTAATTATCAAGTTCATATCTGTAAATTGTTTTGTTCAATTTCTCTGATAATTGAAGCATATATATTTAACTGAGTTCTTCATTAATTACTATTTGTAATAATGATCGTTAATTATGGGTTTCTTGATTAATTATTAATTTATGCTCTTAATTAATTACTTCTGCTTTGTTAATTAAAAAGAGCAATAGCACAAATAGTGGTGGGGTATCGAAGAAGGCTAGGGTTCAACAGTCTTCAGCCCAACCAGCTTTGAAGGTCAGGAATCTCTCTCTCTCTCTCTCTCTCTCTCTCTCTCTCTCTCTCTCTCTCAGAAAACATAAATGTATGGACAATAATTAATTTTATTATTACACGTACGAATAATGATTATTAATAATGTTAATATGAATTTATTGAGACATGCATACAGGTGAGAAAGGAAAAGTTAGGGGATAGAATAACAGCTCTTCACCAGCTTGTTTCTCCATTTGGGAAGGTAAATATAAATAAATAATCTCTTCATTTTACCATTTATATATCAAGCATAAATATTTATAAATATATAGTTAATTATTAATTAATATTATTTATTATAGCATATGTTTTGATTTTTCTAACATATAAAAACTATAAAAAGGAATAATAATAATTCATTCTAGCAGGATTAGTAAGTCTCTTTTTCTTCATGACTTTATCATGCATATCTGACTGTAGCTTTACTTTTTTTTTTTCAAATAATTAAATAAATACTTCGAGAAAAAATAAAATAAAATTAAAGATTTTTTGAGGTTTTTGTGAAATGTTTCTCTTTTGCAGACTGACACAGCTTCTGTCTTGTCAGAAGCAATTGGCTACATTAGATTCCTTCAGGGTCAAATTGAGGTAATTTTTGCTCCCTTTCACCATTCAAAAAAAAGGGTAAATTACGGCCAAGTCCCTGTGGTTAGATCAAACTACAAAATGAACCCCTCATATTTGAATAGTTACATATTATAACCACTCCTGAACTATGAGTCTTCTTACATGTCCACTCTTGTGGTGTTAAATTTAGTGAGATCTTCTAGATTATATGTGGAATCTTTTGCAGTTTGTACCCGTTTTACCCCAATCGAGCTCCACATTTCGGACAACCTAAGATAATCACAATTGCGTCTCTTGGCTTGTAAATATCAGATTGTGCTGCATCAGAAACTGTATTTTTGCACAAAACGAGTACAAACTAAAGAACATTCCATATAATCTAGAAGATTATGTTGAATTTGACACCATAAGGGCGGACATGTAAGAAAATTCATAATTGAGGGGGGTGATTGTACCAAAACATGAGGTTTTTTTTCTTCATAATTTGACCTCACCATTACGGGGGTGACCGTAATTTATCCAAAAAAAGATTTTTTAGCTATTTTATAGCCTTTTTATTTATATTTACATCAAGAAAATAAAGAAATTAAAAAATAAATTAATAATAATATGCAAATTTTGATGCTGCATGCACTGAGCTCTCCATACATGCGTAATCCAGCAGGAAATACAGTGCACCACCAACATTCTGTAAATAAGTACCCATATATACATACATACATACATACATGCGTGTATATATATATATATATATATTTCTATTACACATTTTCCCATGCACGACCAAGATTTTTCACACACACTGTGTGCACAGACACGTGTATTGGGAACTGGGTTTAATACTATAATTAGTCAAGAAAATAGTGTAGTAATCTCAATGTAATCAAGAAAATAATTAATTAATGAATTGTTTTGACAGGTTCAAGAAAGGAATTGTGTGTACCCCGAAGAGAATTGTCAGGTAATAAATAAAACATGCTTTTATTGGATCCATCGCTTCCTTAAAAGAGGCTTTAACTTGTTTTAAACTATATTTATTAGCTAAAGTTCTCTCTGGAAATACGAGCATTTTCACCTTTTTTTTTTAATTAATTAATAACCCCATAATTTAATAAATTAAAATTCATTCCCTGTAGTTTAATTAGTTTATATTTGATTCCCCCCCACTTTATTTTATACAGTTCTTGAACGATTTTGGCGTGGAAGCAAGAGGAGCTGCTAAGCAGGTAATTAAATGAGTACTCATTACTAATTAACTATTTTTCTTCTTTTTTGTTTAATAATCAATTAGTTAGTGGTCAAATTATATTTTAGCAATTTTAATTTTTAAATAAAGTGATAAAAATTAAGAAAAAGAAAATATTTTTTAGTTTTCACCACCATAAGAATTGTGATTAAATTATCACTGTTTGATAATTACTGATATTCGTTGCCCATAATAGTTCAAATTAATTTTGTCACTATTTAAAAGCAAAAAACAAAAAAATTAATTTGATTATAATAAAATTCCTAATAGTTTTGATAGTGTGATTCTATGCATGTATTCAAGAGCATTGTGTCTTATATTATCAAATATATATAGATATACTATATATTTTCTGAAAAAATAAAATAAATAAATAAATAAATGTCAGGAATTAGAAAGCAGACAAGTGGTGAATGACTTGAGGAGTAGAGGGCTTTGCTTAGTTCCAATCTCATGCACTCAAAATGTGGCAAATGACAACGCCGCCGATTACTGGGCTCCGGCGGCTCTTGGCGGCGGCGGCTTTTGATTTTCCGGCCAATTTTGCCCCGGCCGCCACATGCAATCGTACCTGCTGTAACATCAGAAACAGTCACTCTCTAAAATTAAGGGCTGACTGCCTTTGATGCTACTAAGCTAGCTGTTTGTTTTATGCATGGCCATGTTACAAAGTTCTGATCATAGGGTGAAACAAAACTAATTAAACATATTATTGAGGGTCTTTCTGTAATTAACTTAAATAAAGTAATTTTATGTGCCGTTTAGATGCATGTTTATGTTAACTTGTGGCATTGTTCATTGTCGTATCAAGATTTAATTGTGTTATTTTTACTACTTAAATTATATAGTTATAAATACCTTTAAGGAAGATGCTTTACTTGAAGCTAAATTCTGACAGATTTCGTTAATAACTAACTGCATTGACACCTTTTGATTGGACGAGATCTGTAGAGAGAGAAGTAGAAGAATCAAATCTGCAAAAAAAATTGAGTTAGGGTTTGTAGGCAAATTTATAATCTTTCTCCTGATGGATGTAGATCACTCTGATCGAACCACGTTAAATCGTTCTTATTCAATTGTACATGTGATTCAAACTTCTAGTCATTGCATGATAATTAGGGTTCTTAGTAGCTCATTTCCTGAAATTGTGTTCAAAGATTTTGATCGAATTGTTGCTAATTTATTTACGATTTTCCCGCCAATTAAATCAAGAACACACGTCCCAAGTTTGAGAGTTACCCAAATCTTGTTGAGGTTTAAATTTTAGCCATCACTTCATCCAAAAACAAATTCGTTTTTGAATTTTTAGACATTAATAATGATGTAAGAACACAATAATGAGAACATAGAAAAAAATATGTAATTTTGGCCACGAATTTCTTGGATCCAGTTCTGATGTTCACTTCCATCATGATTAAAAAAGCTACTATATACTATTCAAAACATATATATCTCAATCATTAATTCATTTAATCTCTCTCTCTCTCTCTCTCTCTCTCTCTCTCTCTCTCTAGATATGTATTACATACATATATACATGTGTGTGTCTGAAATCATGACAAATGTAGTCTGTTTTTGTCTTTCGTAATCCTCATGTCATAAATCCATCATACTCACATTATAATTAAAAAATAATTAAAAAAATATTTAACCTACTTTAGTGATAATCCCATCCCACTATGTTTTCCACTCCGAAAAGGGTGTGTTTTTTTTTTTTTTTTTTTTTGAGTAAATATTAAAAAAATTCTCAAGGCGCGCATGGTATTTATATTTCTTTAAGGAGGGGGGTGGGGGTAGGGGGGGTGGGTAGAGACTTAGGTCAACACAATCATGAATTCATCAAGTACTAATATGACAAATAAGATGGCCTGTCTTGTTTTGCTTTTTAAAAGGGCTTTAATCCCTTTTTCTTCATTTTCTTAAATAATTCTTTTGTTTGTTTTTGGAAACAAAGTTGAATTTAATTACAATAACCTATTGCTTGGTGGATTGAGATTGTGGTATTAGTTGAGTCAATTTTTTATAATAATAATAATTATTATTATTACATTCGGATAAGGGCACATTAATTTGCATTCCATCGGACAAATCGTCTCATTTTTTGACTTTTGTTATGTTTTGGGCCGAAAATGAATTTTATGATTCGGCCTAAACTTAATGATTTATTGGCAGCCCAACTCCAGGAGTTGTGTTCGAGTCGATCAAGCCCAAACAAGTGAGGACTCTTGATTTTGACTGTCTAGATTACTTCGTTTAATCGTGGACAATCACTCATTCAAACTTTTAGTACTCTCTTCTCTCAACTCTATTATCAGTTTGAATGTGTCACTTCTCTCCTCCTTTCACCCTCTTTCTGAACGGTAATTCTGTTATTAGTTTGTCATTTTCCGGCAACTCTTTATAAAGTCTTTGCCGTATATGATTGACTTTGACTTGGGAACAACTTTGATGTCACCTGCCCTTTTTTTTTTTTTTTGACTGATTGATTGTGCATGTGTCGGTGAGTGAACTCCGTGTGCGAGTATTTGGGTAGGTCTAGGATTTCTAGGTCTGTGCGATTGGGTCTTGGTGTTGGTTTCCGATTGGAGTCGCCACTTACTTGAATTTCTGAAAACACTGAACAACAGTGAGCCATGTTTATAAGAAACAACAGTGGGGCATATTTATTTATAGACGGCGGTTATATGCAAGCCCATTTTTTTATTAGTTCAAGACCTCCAACATAAAAATACTAATTTACCCTTAATAAAATTTAAAATCAAATAAAAAACACAAAATATTAAAAAAAAAATTATTTCCTTTGTGCAAGACCAAATAAAATACATAAATCCAGAAACCCCTCTTCCTTATTTCACGACTTAAAACTCTCCTTCTTCTTCTCCTTCTTCTTCACAAACCCACAAAGAAATCCTACACACCAAAATTATCAAATACATACCAAATATTGACGATGGAACCAGAAAACAATGATATGGTGGTTTACGAGGGTGGAGAACACAACGAAATATGTTTTAACCGTTTATTTTTGCTTTTGGGACGTTTTTTTTGTTGGAAAAAAAATTCGACGATAGCAAAAATCGGTCTGCAAATACCGATTTTTGTTACTAAAGTCGGTAACCACATTCCGATTATTTTAATAAAAATCGGTACTTAAAAACCGATTTTTGTAGTAAAAATCGGCATGACAACACCGATTTATTTTTGTATTATCGGTATTGTCATGCCGACTTATACTACAAAAATCGGTTTTTAAATACCGATTTTATTATCTGTGTTTTTTAAGACCGTTTCCTCATACTTTCGTGCATCAACCTAGGGGATTGATGGAGGATTATTCAAATGAATTATTTAACGAATAAATATTTGAGATACGGAAAACTCTACTCGATTGGGTTAAAGGAGTGGTAGACGCCACCGAATGGTGATAAACATTTTCGTTTCAAATATTTAAAAAATATCAATTAACCAAATATATAATGTATTATTTAAAAAAAAATCAAAAAATATCGGTATTCGAAAACCGATTTTGTACTCAATAATCGACATTAGAACGCCGATTTTGACTTGTAAAGTCGACGTTGTGTCGCCGATTTGGTTAACAAAAATCGGTATTATGACGCCGATTTTCGTGTACAAAATCGGTCTGGATAAACCGATTTAGGAAACCAACGAAAAAAAAAAAAAAAATCAATTTCAATCTCATTTTTTTTTTCCAAAATCGGCCAAATCATTGCAACCCAACAAGAAATAAGCATAGATTAATGTTCATTCATACATATTTATCAAGAATCGATGTTCGATTAATGTTTTCGAATTTACAAATAAAAATTTAGTAAAAAGGACATCGATGCTCGATTAATGTGTTTGAATTTACAAACAAAAGTTTAGTAAAATGGACTTACTTGTTGGTGGTGGTGCGGTGGTGGTAATGGTGCGGTGAGTGGGTCGCTGGTCATCGCCGGTGCGGTGAAAGTCTCGCTGGTTGGCAGACGTGATATTTTTTTTTTGTTTTTTTTTTTTTTTTTTTTTGCTTTTTTTTTTGATTTTTGGTCTTGAACAAATTAAAAATAAGATTTATTTGTATTTGAGTATTATTTGTGGATAAGGGTATATTTGTCATCTTTGGTCTTGATGTAATAAAATTAGATTAATTTACGGACTTGAACTAATAAACTCCTTTATGTGGTTTTGAACTAATAAAAAAATGGACTTGCATATAACCGCCGCCTTATTTATAATATATAATATATATTGTGGCTCGGCCTAATACACAATGGGGCATATTTATTTACATTGGGCCAAAGTATCAGTCACAATGGGCTGATAATAATAAAGTTGGGCCAAAGTTATGACCTCATATCCACAAAAATAAAAAATATGGAAGCCCAAATCTAAATCTAATATATGCTTCGATTTTCAATTTAATAATAATAATAATAATAATACATTACCAAAAATTTCAAAGTTGAAACTGCACCAATTAAATGGTGGAAACAAGAGATGAAATAATGTTGATAGGTAGGTAGCCTAGATAGGGTAGGCAGTATGAATAGCCATAGAGCTACACAAGCATACTATTGCGTGACGAATTGGATCAAACCTAAATCACATACTCCTATACTTTTAAGATATGAAATTAAATTAAATTACTACCGCCCCTGAGGTTTTGTCAAATTATGAAAATTCCCACATGTTTGGGTAATTACAATTACCTCCTAAACTATGAATCTTCTTACATATCCACCCTTGCCGTGTGAAATATAGTGAAATCTTCTAAATTATATGGAATATTCTCAAGTTTTTATCATTTTTATCTCATTCGAGCTCCACATTTTGAAACAAGAACATTATAAGATGTGTTTTTTGACTTGTGGTGCCGACTTGTAGAGTCCGTGGAATTTGACACCATAAGAGTGGACCTGTAAGAAGATTCATAGTTGATGGGGATAATTGTAATTACCTAAACAAGAAGGGGTGTTTTCGTAATTTAATGTTACATGAGGGGTGGTTGTAATTTACTGATGTTTTATTTTATTTTTGGGGCAATTTACTATAGGTCCCTCTATATTATAATTTATGTGTTTAAATCCAAGTCAAAATTTAATGTTTTAATAAATTAATAATATTTATTATGACAAAAATACCCTTAATTAAATCAAACCAAATCCCAAAAAATCTCTCTATCATAACAAATTCCAAAGATCTCTCTTCCAAATATTAACTAAAACAAATAAATTAATTCATAACAAAAATATGCAATTTATTTTACAAACTCATACTATAAAAACGTAACCGCAGCCCCACCACCGCCTATGATCCGGGAACTGCGACGCCTATGACTCCGCGAACTGCAAATAGCAAACTGAAAATTAAATTTTATATTATTGAATTGCAAACAACAAAATACCTATGATTTCGCCAAACGCAAACAGCAAACTGAAAAAACAAAATTCATAATTTGTATTATTAAATTACAAACAAAAAATTACCTATGACTTCGCCAAATGCAAACAGCAAACTGAAGAAAAACATTCAGCAAAACTTGCATTATTGAATTGCAAGCAATAAACTACCTATGACTTGGCTACACGCAAACAGCAAACTGAAAAAAAAATAAAAAAAATCAGCATCATTAAAAACATCAACCAAAAAATTGTTTATAGAACAATTTGCAAACAACAAAAATATTAAACAAAATGTTTGTAAAATGTAACTTAAGACATACCTTGCAAATTGTAAACCAGAGAAATCGAATCTCAACATCAAACGCAATTCTTCAAACAACAAACGAAATTAAACCAACTGCAAACGGAAATTGCTAACAACAAACGATGTGAGGTTCTACATACGGAAAACTCAATGCGAATTTGGCTAGGATTTTGGATTTCTGATTTTTTTTTGGGAGGGGATATTTGTCGTCCTCTTTAATTCTTTCACAAAGAAATCCTCTCATAATCAATTAAGATCCTTGTTTTTTTTCATCTCTATAATATTTCTTCATTAAAAAAAAGAAAACGAAAAAGAAAAAAAAAAGAGAAGCACGAGAGAGAGAGAGAGATGCAGAAAGAGAGAGATGAGGAATTATATAGGGGGAGGTAACGTGAGATTGGAGAGAGATGATATATAAGATTTGTTTTCTTATTAATTGAGGGTGTTGTGGTCTATATACTAATTATTTTAATTTATTTATATTAATT